GCACCGGAGCACAGCCGGGCACAGCGCAGCACGCGGTGCTGGACGGCACCGCTGTGAGCCAAGATTCTGTAATTGGCCATGCATCCAATTCCAACCTTTCATCTCAACCTTGAAGCGACGGCCTCCAACCTACAAGTAGAAGCGATGGCCTCCAACCTAATCCAATTCCAACCTTTCATCTCAACCTTGAAGCGACGGCCTCCAACCTACAAGTAGAAGCGATGGCCTCCAACCTAATCCAATTCCAACCTTTCAACATGTTCAAATCAACCTTGTACAAGTGAGGTGTGCTGGCCATGCATTCATCCGGGTCCATCCGCTTTGAATTTTCTAGTTTGGGTGGTACAATTTGCCATAATCTCGCGTGCTGAATTCACTAGCAAGGGGTGCAATGGGGCTCCTGAATCAGACATATTGGACATCACCTTTTCCTCTATCCCGCAACTCCGAATGGCTCCCGCAACTCATCTCACCAGCTACATTGGGTTCAGAGCTTCGATGGCACCCCAAGAGGGTCCTGTTGAACAGATGAGGAGTCCTACTACCAAACTTGGGGGCCCAGACGTGCCATCGAACCTCCGAATCGCACCAGCTCGACTCATCGCTCGACTCATCGCTTTTCCGCTCGCGAAACGGACCGGTCGCTGCTCGCCGGCCCATCCGCTGCGCGGCGTCGCTGCGCGGCTCGCGTGGCGTCCCGTGGTTCTGCCCGGCTCTCTGCCTGGCAGCAATGGTCTTGCTCTACAAACGCAATATCCTTACTATGCAAATGGACTCCGGCATGATGAAGTTGAAGAGTTTCAAGGCTTCCAAAGCTCCGTGTACGGAGACAAATCACCGGTAGGCCATGGATGCTTTCACAATTCAATCATCACTACTATTGTGGCATATTTGTTCATGGTTATTTTATGTTATTCCAATATTAGGTGAATGTTTAAGACCTCACAACCTCAGACTGAGCGGCTTAAGGTTTGAGTCCTTGCCACATGAGTGAATCAAAGCTCTCTCCAAACAGGACTGAGCACCAAGGCACACGAATGACAGTGAGTGTGGACCTGGGGAGAAACTCTCTCAATGGAAGGGTTCCCAACGAACAGACAGGCTGGTTGGTTGGTTGCCTCAGGAAAGGAGTCGAGGGAATGTTTACCCTAGTTACTCTATAGTGATTATTGGTATGGGTCAAATCCTAAATAAATTCTGCAATCATTGGGGAGATGGCCATCCTCGTCATGTGATGGCTGCGCCGTATGGACAGACCTGGTGTTTGATCTGCACCATCTACATCCATATGGTGCTGGCGATTTGAATGCTGCTTTGCTGTAGGAGTTTTCCTTCCTATTTGATGATTGACCCAAATTTTCAAGAATTCTGTGCACAAATGAGAGATGTCAAGAAGATGTTCTACCAGTAGGCACAACGACTGTAAGCATTTGGTCTTTTCAAGAGAGGCCGATATTGCTCTAAGATGCTCTATCAATCTGTATCGATCTTTGGGGCTTAGGGTCTGACCCGTTCGCCAGTTGACCAGTTGACCACGATCGACGCCCTGCCCTGCGCGCGGTACGCCGCGATCATCGTGATATCGTGCGAGTCGCGTCGATCGTGGTCCCGGCGCGCGCGCCTCGCGTATCAGGTCACGGCCTTCATGTGCCCACTCAGACACCCTGTCGTGGGTGGCTGGAAAGCGTCGAGTCAAAGAGGAACCCTCGACCCGGCTCGACCTCGACCCTCGACCCTGGACCTCGACCTGAAGACGCAAGGTGAACCGGAACTGGACATGATATGATGGCTCAAGACCCGACTCAGCATCCTTTCAACGGTTTGGAAGAAGAGTCTTCCTGCCAGCTCTGGTATTTGTCCTGCCATCCCTGCCTGACATGTGTCATTCAGTGACACGTAATTTTTTGTATGTTTCAAACAATAGATCCAGCACAATAAAGTAATAAAGTATATACTGCATTTATAAAACCATATAAAACCCCAACACCAGTGGAGTACAAGGCCTTCTCCGCCTTCCGCGCGGGAACCACCACGCCCTCCTTCTCCCGATGAGGCCTTCTCCCACCACACCCGTTGGGCCCGCTACGAAGCCCTCCGGCCAGCGCTGGCCTCTCTTGGGAGGAAATTTGAACGCCCAGGGTCTGCAAGGCAATCCTGGTATACCTCGACACGAGGCAGGGCAGGCTGAGGCCAGCAGGCCTAGGGCCTAGGGTGAGGCAGGCCTTCGTTTCGTTCGAGTTTGCTGCAACGTCCCGTCTTCGTTGGATTGGGAATACCATGGAATACCACTTGGCCTTTTTTTGTGGGATGTCAACACGAGTGTTGCAGCATCAAAGGATTATCGGATTGTACTACTCCAAACCATCTCATGATGTTAAAATGCCTGGAAGCTCGCCAGATTGAAACCTCTAGCCTCCAGCTCTGTCCTTTTGCACTATTGCAATTGCTTCAATGGGCCACATGGGATTACTGTGTCAAGACTCTGTCGAGAAAAACAGTGCCTCAAACAGTTTCTGCAAGAGGATGGCAAATGCGAAAGCATGTACAAGGCCAAGAATGGATTCCATTGACATAGCCATTCTTTGGTGCCGGCATTCGCATTGACTCGCAAAGCATTGACTGCTGGCCACCAAGTGCAAGCTGATCCAACTGAAGTCCATCTGAGGCTGGATCCACTGACCCAAGTAAGGGATCCTCGGCGGCTGGCGGTCGCTGAATCGGCCGAATATGAAGGTTGGAGCGGATTCTACAAAGCTCCAAATGCAAACGATGGAGAAAGCTGGATCGAAGTGGAAAAAGATCGCGCTCCCAGTGCTTCACGAGTTTTCAACGCTCCCCAATTCCAAACATGTGGGAAGCAAATGGAAGAAACATGACCACGACCGAAGAACGGTGTGTATTTGAGATCCGGGACCCACCTGGCCCTGGCTGGGTAGATTGGTCTATTTCCCGAACCTTCAGAGGGTCCCTATTTTAATACACACCCAAATGTCTTCTTCTTTGACCGCCAAAACTGGTTGCACCAAGTGCTGAAGCCATGAGCCGGTACCGGTGCCAGATTGTGCCCAATCTGGGTGCTGTTCTCCATGGATCCAACGAGATCAAACGAGTAGGCCATCTCAAAAATACGAAAGGGGAAACCCGACGGCGGAGTGAAATTCCTAGTCAGTCGTGTTTCTCCTCAGGTCAGAACTGCTTGCTTTGGACAAAGTTCTGCAAATCTGCTAACGCTTCCTCAGCAGAGAATCTCCAGCATGTGCAGAAAATACGAGTCGAAAACGCTACTGGTCTCCGCCGAAAACATGTAGCAACTCCTGCAGCTTCGTCGTGACCCTTTTTGCTTATAGAGAAAGAATGGATGGAAACATGATCAGCCCAGCTCCTGGATGCTTCATCTATAGCTATACAGCAGATGATCTGATGACCTCCGGGGAGCCCCGCCGCATGCCCAAGCAATCGATCTCCATCACCGTGATCACCCGGAGACCCTCCAGGTCCTGGGGAAGAAAGGACGGCAAAAAAGTGACGAGTGATCACTTGAACAAAAAGGGGGGCCGAAGCTCAGGTTGCAACTCACTTCTTCCAACGTCTTCAAACCAGGCGTTCGTCTGTTCGAACGTTGGGGTGCCATCCGACCGCGTTGCACCCAAAACCATCCGACCCATTCTCGCTCCGCCGAGCCGCGCGGAGCGGTCGCATGCTTCGAGAACGAGGTGACGTGCGTCTGCGAGAACGGCCCCCGAAGTGCGACAAACAGGCTGTGCCATCCACTTCCATGTTACTTCCAAGAACTGTTTAACGTTGTGACGTTGTGACTCGGATGGAATTGGAAGTCGCCAAGACTTCGGAGCAGTAACGAAAAACAGTTCCACCCGTCCTTTGTTTTCGTGTCGAGACGCATTTTGAAGAGATAGGGTGGAACAAGGATCACCAGTGAAAGCTTGGAGGACCATGAAAAACAAACAACCAGTTGAACCTTCGAAGAAACTGTTGCCGGTCAGTGGAGGCGAATCTCCGAATGATACGTGAGGCCGCGGCCCTGCAGGAAGTGGCCCAGCTCTGGCTCTGGTGGCTCTGTTGAAGCAACATGGATTCCAAATCTTCGGAACATCAGAATATTGTATCTATTTGATATTATATCTATTATACAGTATCTGTCCACTTTGGGGACACTGGTGCATTATATGACTTTACCTTATCTGTACAATCTACTGTTCTTGTTTGGGGGGGGAGTTTTGAAACAATCCGGGAAACGGAGACGGGTTTAAACATTTACCCACACATCAGCTCCTTGGCTTGTCGAAGCTTCGTCAGATGCCATCGCGCCACTTTCGCACCGATGCTCGAAGTGCTCTCTTAGCTGTTTGTGTGTGCAAGCTCAACTAATTAGTGAGTGCATACTGCGGGAAATGCAATATGTCCCTACTTGCTGCGTCCTGAATCTTTTGGCTTGACGAAGTTCTTATTGTAGGTAATTTTGTGTAAGTTGAAGTGAATGCAAACAAGGAATCAGCAAGAACACATCTTGCAAACATCTGGCCGGACATCAGCATGGTACGTATCTTGACCCGAACAAACATATTGTCGTCCATCCGGCGTGTGTCTTTTTGATGGACTGTATTGGACACCCCATCCTGCATCATGCGTAACACAACTCTGGGAGCTCGCCAATAGAGTAAACGAGTAAACACATAGGAATCCCATGGGAATTCCCACTACCTTGGAATTCTTCCGTCAACAGGGTCCTGTCCGGATGCATTTTGGCAACGCTTCTCCGCTCTTCTCCAAGCGCATCTGTACTGTTGGGCGGTTCTCTTGAAGACCTCCCCTGCCCTTTTGGCTAAAATGAAAGCAAATTGGGCCAACTGCCCCCAAGATGTTAATTTGCAAAAGTGTTTTAAAAGGCCAAACAAAACATGCAAAAAAACATTCGTGACACTCGGACACTCGGGCACCTCCGTCTCCGCCCGGTGCCAAAGCCACGATCTCAACAGCCACCATCAATTGTTCGTGCGCCTCGGAACTGAAGAAACCGGTCCACGGTGGATTTCCGAACTCACACCTGTCTTTGGTCAATGTGTCCAGACATGTACACCAGTATATAGGAACCAATGTCATTGGCAGCGGAAAGGAAGACACCGTTCTGAACGTGTCCAGACCACATGCGGGGGACTGTTGTGGTCCTCTATGCAGTGTTCTTCCTGAGAATACAATTTGGCAAAGTCTCTCTATATTGTTGTGCTTTTTCTTGTCGTGGCAAGGTCAGTCATCTGATTTCTGACTCCCATGGGTGTGTCTGTCAACATTGGTGCAAACCAGCCAATGTGATCCCTGTAGCAGCAGACATGCGCAACTTGTCATCAATTTCAGTATTTCTGCCAATAGACGTTCACCATTACAACGAGTTGCAGAAGCTTTGCGCGCACCGACAAGCGGATCCGCTCCATGACCTCATTGGCGACTGGTTGTGACACCACAAAAGAAAAAGTCCACCAAAGCATCTTCACCTGTGTCTATTTTGGGTGGCTAGTTTGAACCCACTGCTGGATAGGAAAGGACAGAAAGTCATTGAAACCAAAATTAACCTACTTCTTTTTTTTGATTGATTCGAGAATGGTGGTGTCGTATGTGGTGTCGTTTCTCCTTTGGGCTGCGGATCTGGCCGCTTCGGCCGTTTAAAAATAATTGAATAACCCAGACGCTCATGGACCCTCATATGGAGGGGTCTGGAACATCAAATTCCCTCAGTTTTGAGAGACCAAGGGCTGTTTGGAGCGTCTGGGAAAATTGAGATCTTGGCTCATGAGGTCAGTGTTCGTGGAGAATGGCTTGCAAAGTCGCTGCTACAAACACTCCGAGGAACCCGTGGTTCCAGATGACTCTTAGAGGATCATCCATGTGTTTTTCTTCCTTTTTTCGGAATGCTCACCAAGTACTAGTACTGCAAGTCATGAATTGGGAACCCTGGGACCTACAAAAGGGCATGGAAGCTTCTATTGGGGCCGTGCTGTGAAATCCACATGCTGTTTTTGGGGCGGCCCAGTTGTGACCTGTATCAACCTGTGTTGCACCTTTTGAGGCCCCCGACGGCAAACATGACCGCGGACTGCGTCATGCCTCGCATGATCTCCTCAAGGACAAGAGTCATCTGTTGGGGAAACAACTTCAGTGACGAGTCTCAGTCACTCTTCATCATTTTAACCTCATGGAGCTAAAGGGCTGAGAGACATGTCTTGATCTGCATCATGTAACTCGTTGATCTGACTGGAGCAAACAACCAACTCCTCGGAAATCATACAGCACTAAAACCAATCATCGCCTATTTCCATCATTATCCATCTAGTTGACCACTAATGTTGTGAATCCATCCTCAGGGGATCTCTGACTTTCGCGCACATCCCGCGCACATCCGCCAATCAGCCAACCCCCGTCCATGCTGAGACCACGGTAGAGTGCTGCAACGCCTTCTTCCGCGAAGACCTCCGCGTCGGGTCCGTCCCCGACCCGAACGGAGCGGCCGCTGCTCCGTCCGAAACCGTCGGTCGATGGGTTGGCACGGAGGGTCTGAAGCGAACGAATCGGGGAGGCGAACGATTCCGAACCGGTCAGAAGCGAGGTTGGAAGCGATTGGTTCTATAAGTGAGAACATACCAGAACTCCAATGTGGCTTGAGTGATCATGAGCGTCCTCTCAGGAACCGCATGCCAACAGGGTCTGTGTCTTGGACCAATCGATCTGCTGTTGTGGAAACAGGGATGCGGAAGCTCATGGTTATATTGGTTACCTTCCAGCAAGTGCATCCACGGGGTTCCGTCGAGATGCTCTACCCACCCTGAAAGCCTGCATGAACATCCATCAGCATCAATCCCTCATTCGATCTATGTGCCACTGCCTTGCGCAAGGCTGCAGTGGCATTGGGGGCCAGCTTTGCCTGGTTTGCCGCAAGTGCCAGGCAAAATGTATTTATATATTATACTATGTATAGGCCCTGGTTTATCTCGACCTACGAACTTCCTTGGTCCACAAATGACCTTTGAATGCCACACAAGTGTGTTCGGAACTTTCTATTCTTGTACAGTACCAACCCTTGCCGCAGCAAACCCAACTTCATGCATGTGGAGTAGAGCAAATGTTGTGTCTCATCATTCCTCAGCATGGGTGACACCCCCAAAAACCCGATCGGTTACTTCGTCCTTTACAAGAGAGGTGCAGGTTACAAGACGCGAGGTCCGAGGGTTCAGCCCCTCAATACAGGAGTTCTGATATTTATTTGTTATATAATATGTATAGTTAATTGTAATTAACTATATCTGAATGTGCATCGCCGCGACAATTTATGAATTCTGGGAGAACGACTGAACTGCTGATGTTTGGTAACCTCAACGTTTAAAAAAGAGTAAAACACGACATATACCAGTAAAAACAACGCAAAAAAAAAACTAAAAATCCTATACGTCCCGAGTGTGGTCTTCACGGAGGGCCATGCGAAAAACCTGCCCGATTCCCGTTCCGTCGCCTGTGACAAGGCCTTTCCTCTCACCTGGGTGCTTTGGATTCGTTATGGAAACCTGTAGCTGCATGAGACCTAAAAACTAATAGACAGCACCCTCCAACAGGTCTCCTCTGGTGGCTTTTGGAGACTTAAAAGTGGCGGGTGGTGACATGTTGGAGGGTGCTGGTAGACAGCTCCTTTCTTGGGAATCCTTGATGGATTTAGACCGTGTTGTATGGAGAAATTGTCGCTTGAGTAGGGGTCGAAGCATGACCATCTAAAAGAAGCAGGTGCTACACGTGTTTGCCCTTTTGCAAGCCAATCAGGCCCGAGGCCAACTTGAGCCAAATCAAAACGACTAGCAAAGAGAGTTCTTAGCACCTTGCCCAAACTACTTGGCCCATGAATTCGTTAGAAGGCACACAGCTTGGCCATCCTTGGCCGGAACCGGCCTTGAAGAAGCGGCCTCGTGTGCGGTCGTCCATTCGAGTCCATTCCAAGGCCGCGGCATAAGGGTACACCATGCACGTGGCCACAGCACGTGCAACTGGCCACGGGAAGCCCCGGCGGCGTGGAAGACAAAACGACGGGCTCCTTTGGGGATGAACCATAATATAAGTTATATAAGGAGATCCGCATGATACGCATGTTCCGCAAGCTCTGAAAACTCTGCCAAAAGCTCGGAGTGGAAAAGCCATGATGAGCCGAACGCTTGTGTCTTAGAGTGAGCTCGCCTTCTGAAGGAACCACCAATAACCTCCTGACTCCTAAGCTTGCCTCAAAAGGAAAAACAGTGTATGGCTATCATCTTGAAGTCGGCAGAACATGGAGTTGTTTGGAAACACTACAATTGCAATCCTCCAACTTAAACCTCGTCCAAAAGATCCCAAAAGTAAGGTCGGTTCATCCTGTTCATCCTGTCTACAGGAGGACAACTATAATCTGAAATTAGATATACAGTAAGTATAGAATCTTGTAGATTGAATGAGCAAAAGGTTTGCTTAGCATTCACAGAATGCTTCAAACCTCGGCTGGTTTCGGCACGTCGCAGAAGAATAAAAAACCGCCGGGCACCTGCACCCAGGAAGAAGGCCGTAAGTGGTCGCAGTTCCTGTCATCTTGGAGAATGCATGAGCCTTGAGAAAACAGGCATAGCATGGCATAGACTATGGCATAGGCATAGCTAGATCTCTGTCCGTGACCGTGGGGTTTTGGTCCTTTTACACTGTTTGCCGGGTCAATTTACGGAGCTCCTGTGAGCCATGTCCTGCGGCATCACAGGCTGGATCATCGAGACTGGCCATCCAGACTGTGGCAATGGAAAAATATGGCAAAATGGCTGTAGCCGACTTCAAGCCAACCCATGTTGAATGATGTTGGACGCTTCAACTTATATATATATATAGAAGCACACGAACATGTATGCGGCATTGGGTGTGGTCTATGCTTAGCCACACCCCTCTGGTAGCAAGATCCGCCAAACATTGCACTGATCGAATGCGCCTTCTTCGAGTAGCCCTGGCAAGGACACTTCGAGGTTCAAACATGTTCCAGGGATGTAGGACAAATCAAGGAGGTTGTCATTTGGTTGGACGATCATCCATTGAAACAATGCCTTTCGGTGTCCCGGACAGAGGCTGAATTGCGGGAAACATATGTCTGGGTCATGTCCATCAACCAGGATGGACCCGGAACTGCTTGGGATGATCCCTTTAATACACTATGGCGGCGCCATGGCTAGTAGAAAAATGGTGTGGTCTGCCTCGACAAAAACACAGTTTCAACAATGGTGACAAAGGGGGTTTGGATCAGCGGCAGCACTTTCGAACAACATCTAACAACAAGATCCACAGATTACATCTCCATGGAAATTATCTTTTGTCAATTTAATGTAGTCTATGTGTAGATGAGACAGGCAAATCTGCCACTTGCGTCGCTCACACGCTTGTGGAATGGGTCGAAAGCGCCGTGCTTGCGCCGAGAGAGAGTGAGAGAGAGAGAGAGAGAAAGCCTGGACGCAGCCAAAACTGCCAAAACTGCAGCCAAATGATCCCCCCTCCCAGATTCTGTAGCCCCCTAAAACTAGGGCCAACAGCCACTGCTTTCCCGTTCACGGTCCGCGGCGGTCCGCCACGGTCCGACCAAGACTGCGGCCTTGAGAATCATGCTCTTGATCCGGTCGAAGAGGGCAAACTCAATGCCCGGCTTTAAAGAAAGCACGAAATACCTCGGAAGATCTGGGACCTCGCAATATATATATATATATATACATAGTGGATTGAGAGTAGATGGCACAATCCCCAAAAGGTTGTTTATAATGTTTATATGGATCCCCTATATAAAAGACATCTTGGGGTTTGTGCCATCTACTCTGAATCCACTGTAAATCTGTGGGAGTGAAGAAATCGGCTCAGGAGTCAAGCAGGGACGGATCTTCTGACCGGCCCTGCTTGGTCACAAACACTCGCAGCCAAACCGATTGGTTGGGGGATCCCAATGGTTCGCAGCTTTTGCCCTCTCAATCTCAACCTCATCTGTCCGGGAAAAAGAAACACTATATAGCCACATCTTGCCACGCAGCCTGTCAATGACAATGATTTCAAAACCCACAGGTTACAAAACCAATGAGACTCCGCCTGAGATCCCTGAGAACACCACTGGAATATGCCAGTTTTCGCCTCAGACGCCCGACGCTTTACCAGACTTCAAGGCCATTGCTAGGCCCTCCCAGGTGAAGAGAGCCTGCCCGGGTCGCATGCGGAGCGGCGGGGCGGCCCCGCTGTAGAAGAGAGGATGCAGGGCGACCAGAAAATCCCCGGGGCGGAAACGGTTCGGGCTTCCCCGAGAAGTCGTTGAAGAAAAGCCAATGACTTCATGTCCGCCCCAAATCCGTACGAGGAAGGTGAGGTTTCAAGAGAAACTGAAAAGAAACTTGAAGGGATCATTATAAAATTAAAATAGAACTTGACAAGGAATACTTGAGTTCATAGCAAACAAAAAACAGTAAATATAACCAAAACACATATTGTATATATAAGTATGTATCAGTTATATAAAAGGACGTTGGAAAAAATGCCAAAGATATTGCCAACACATTGAAAATAAAGCCGCTGTTTCGGAGTGATCATAAATGATTCATGAAATTCATATCCATCACTCATCAACAGTACACATCTCAGGAAGCACTCGGATGATCTGCAGGCTCCCAACCTTATATGCAAGCGAAATACTATGTACACTTAAAAAAGAAAAAAAAACATACAAAAGTCGTCGCATCGCCTTATCGGCTCTGGGTGTCAATATCCAAGGGGGAATATCATGGTTAAAGGACGTGGGGTGTCATGGACCTAATTTTCCTTTTGAATGTCCGTTCACTTTCCTTTGAGCATGTATGTTCATGTATGTTCCTCAGAAATTCCTTTTCATGCCCTTTTGAACTTACAGGTTCTTTGGCATGCGTTCTTTTTTCGATTGAAATTGAAATCGTGTTTATTTCTTCATACGGTAGCTCTTCTACTGACGGCCGTTGTTCTTATGCGCAGTCTTAGTGACAGGACCAGCGTCTTCAAACATGGCATGGCAAAAAGTGTTTGACCCAATAATTATGTCTCGACAAGCCCTGTAGCCTTTTGACATGCCTTCGAGATTAATGGCAGAGCTTTGTAAGCCATGTTCCTGTTTTATTTTCTCAGCAATTCTTACTCTCCGTTCTTTTTCCTTTCTGCCTCTTCTCCTCTTCTTCATTCCTCGTCACAGCTTTTTCTAATCCAAACAACGACTTTGCGAGCCACCATGGACGTCAATACCCCCTGCCCACCCCGGAACTTCCACTGCTCCTTCCATTTCGCACCACCCCGCCCCGCCCGTTGGCGCATTCCGTTGGCGAAGCCCGCCTGGCGGACCACTTCGGCCTTGGAGATCTCCGGTTTCCGCGTCTGCAGCTGCACCACCAGCGCCTGACGACACGGGCGTGACCGGCGAGGCTTCACCGATCCGATCTCACACCGACACGGTGTAGGTCACCGGGTGTGACAGGAAAGGAGTCGGCCGTCCCGGCAAGAAAAGCACCAATATCATGTCACCAAGAGTATCTAAGAGTAGAACAAGACCTATAAAAAGGTGGACTTGTTGACCCTTTCTTTGTCTTACTAGGGGGCTTCACTTCTCCAGCCTCCACACCGACCCTCCCTGGGCCCGATGAGACGAGGCTTCGCCTCGATGGGCATGCTGATGGGCACGCAGAGCAGGTCGCCTTGTGGCGCGGCGAGGTCTCGACCGAAGCGTCGGGGAGACCGGGAACACCAACACCCATTTGGGCCAGCCCCATTAGGCCAGGAGGTCCCCCTTATTGGGCCAGGAGGTCCACCCATCTCTTTCTCCAGTTTTCTGCCGGGTCTTTCTGTCTTTGCTCTGGAGAAACTGACGTGGTGGCACGAAACTTGACAGCTGAGTGACTCAAATAGCCGCAGAGCACGGTGGCCTCAGCACAAGGGGCACAGTGGAAGCCCTCAGGAAGACAAGGCAAACGACCAAGATACCAAGATCGATTCTCCCCCAAACAATCTGGTAGGGAAATCTGCGGGCTTAGCCATCCTTAGTTTTGACGCAAAAAATAGTATACAAGTAGGGGTCTCACTGAAAGCTCGGGCCCAAGGCTCCAGACAAGACGACGAATGACATGGTTGGTTGACAGAACCGCTCTTCAGAAAGATCTGTCCTGCGTCCAAAACCGCACATACTTCTCGGACAACCTCTGCGATAAATACAACAACAATCAGTGAAGATGGAAAGGTGCGCCTGCTAACCTTTCACGGTCTTTGGCCCTGAATCCAACCGTCCCCGGCTCATCCCGGTTGGGGTTTAGCTGGGCTTTCCGGCAAACATCCCCAGCTCCTGCCCAAAGAGCCTGAAAAGGGAAGCCATCAAACACACGCTTGCCATCTCTCGCCTATCCTTTAAGCAATGATTAGTCGCAATGTCTATGGTCAGAAGTAATTGCCCCCAACAAAAGGACATGGGCGTTTCAAGGCCTCTCTCCCATCCGTGTCGTGAGTGATTCCCTTGTTCTACAGCAACAATGACGTAACAACCGAAAAGTGGCCATCACCAGGAGTGATGGCCGCTGCTGCGAACACCAGCGCCTCACGATGCCCCGCGTACCCTTAGAACCACGGCATCTCGGGAAGTCTTGGACTCTACAGCTTGGATCCTTTTTGTTAGGAGAGTAACCTAAGACCCAGTGCAACAAGACCCAGCAAACCAGTTGACAGATCCACCTACTGTACATTATTTGACAGACTTGGGCAGTCAATACTCTTGCCCCAGATGGATCATCAGGGATCTCCTGTAAAATCTCAAGTTCTCAGCGACCGCTGCAGACCTGCGGAGGAAGGATTTGATGGCAGCATAGTTCAGCACGTACATCGCTTTCTGCTCAGTGGCCTGCCAAATGGCCATGAAGGACTGTGTACATACCTGCGAGAGGAACATGATTAGGGCCTAGCAGCTCCAAGTTCATACCTCCTACCAAGGCTGCCTCATGAAAGAAAGGACCGCGTCAAGTTGGAGGAATCTGAGCTGTCTGTCAGCATGGTGGAAATCGAAGTTAAACCTTTGGAACGGCCTCCAGGGCCGAGAAAGGCAAAAGACCGCGATAGAGCCTCGGCAACGGTGCCGGACTCACCGTCTCCGTCAGTGCCGGATGAAAACCGCTTTCATCCGCACCTCATCCGAAGAATTCTAGCTGGTAAGACAACAACAAAGAAGTACAGTTGACAGTTGTTCACCTTGGTCCACTTCCAAAGCTTTCACCCAAATGGGCAAGTTTGATCCAAAATCCAAACGATTTCAGCTAAGCACCGCGCCCAAGCACGCCCTCCTAGCGTCAGCAGCAAGCAGCTGAGCAGCTTCATGAAAGAAAAAACACCGCGCACGAAATGGGTCGGCAACTGCATCTCACAGACCTGTCCTGCGAAATAATCTGCTTGAGCACGGCAAGCAAAGAGCCATCCTCAGCAGAAATCAGCAGAAACACAGCTTGACATAATTCTCATATGCACTCAAATCTGGTCTGTTCTGTGGCAGCCCAGTTTTGTGGGCCGCGTTTACCCACTGAAAAAAAAAAAAACGTTTCATCAGTTGTATTCATGTTGTTGAACCATTCCTTGCGCAATCACTTGGATTCCCTGTAAAGGATCACCTGTTGAAAAGGTGTCCTCCGCAGTGACCAGCTGCGTGCTCCCTATCTGGGATAGCCCAGATAGCCGCACTGCACAGCTTTGCAGAAAAAAGAGGCAAACCGTCACACGCCCGCAAACCATCGCAGCATGTGCTGCGCAGCCCCTCTCTTTTTCGCAGCCGCGAGCCGCTGCGAACAGCTGGCGAGCCCAGCGGAGCCATTCAGACCTGCCTGCGCAGCATGGATCGGGGCGCCTGGGCTGCGAACACATCGAAAACACACCACTGAAATGCAGTGAAATGCACTGAAGCAAATGAAATCCGAGGCAAACTCCCAAGATTCACTCCAATTTCTTCAGGATGAACCAGCGCGGGGCCTCCTTTGGATTGGTGTGCCCTTCGTTCAGTCTTCCTGGCCCCGGGGCCCAAGCAACAGAACTTCCTGCCGTCTCGTGGGTGATAGCCACCAATCATTCGATGCCGGTGTTCCTTTGAATATTTCATTGGCTCAGTTTGGGTGATCCAATCGTCCCCGCTCAACACAAGTCTGGAGTTGATGCCACCTGCAACTCTCCTGAACACCTCCCACCTTTCCGGCAAAAAAGATTCTGGCCGGCAGTGTGCTCGACTCGTACAAGTGGGCGTTAAAATTTCAGAGCGGTCCCGCAGAGAGATGCAAAATATATCATCCCTAGAGCTCCAAGTACCTTCTGAGAAGGCGTTTGGGGTGGTTTTGGAGGGTCCAAATACCTTCTGAGGTGGCACTTGGAGCACCGGGACATATACATAGAATTATACTCACATACTTACTCACATATATTTTCTTTATATCCCGCGTGAGAAATCCACCACAGCTGGCAGCTGCCAGCATGAGAGCATATCAGAGCCTCTTGCAACCGCAATCTGATATCAAAAACATTCACTCCAGAACCACAAAAACCAGCGACGGTGCCTTATCATGCTTTACTTTATCAACATCTCATGCTCTTCTGCCAAGCATCCATGGGCTCAAGCTCACTAAGCATGGTCATCTTCCTGATGAGAAACACAATTGAACATGCACCACTTATTGGACAGGAACTCTTAGTTGATTTGCTGATAACCAAGTTTGGGGCATCGAGAAATTATTTGCGCGTTTGCTCATTGCTAAATTCTGGGTGGATCACGAAGATTTGTAATTCAATGGCTAATTGCCTCCAACACGCATATCAAAACATTGGTACATTACAAGTAGCTTGTTGCCAACCAAAAGGCTCTGCAGAACTGCCAGGCAAAGCATGTCTAAACGCAAAGACACTCGTCTCGTGAGTAAACCCCCAAAAGGCCAACAAAACCATCAAAATCTAAGCAACCCAGGCTACTTTTGATAGTCATACTTGCTTGAAAGTCTAGGGTTTGGGGTGGGTGCCAGGGGGGTCTAACCACCTTCTGAGGATATGGGCCAGGAGCCCTAGGGGAATATGGCCTGAGACCGTCTGCCACACTGGATCACGTCTGGAGTGCGCTCTTGATGTTCCTCTCCACTGCGGAGCAGCCCCAAATCTGTGGATGAGAGTCGCTGAATAGATGTGCTACACTGGTCTTAATGGAGCCTAGCCTAGGAATTTGACAGCCGCATGCATGTCCCAGCCACTAAGACAACGAACCACAAGGATCACGACCACATGCTTTTCTGGAATGCCAAGGGTCGTCATCATCGCCGCACCTTCCTCAGCTGCTTCCTGGCACTTTTGGCGCTTGCAGCTTGCCTATGTACAAAGAAACGAAGCTAGCAAACTTCAAACAACTTCAGAACCCAAAATGACCCTGTTTCGATTGAGGCCCTATACGTGTCGATGGGTTTGTGCCATTTACCTTGCTTTCCAAGTCCTTGAATGTCCCCGTGCATCATCTGCATCGCCCTCCACCAGGACCCTCAGCCCCGCCTCAGCCTCGCGCTGCACACGCTGGGTGGCGGCCCATTCGGCGGCCGCCTGGGCCTCCTGGGGCAGGTCGCCCTGGTGGCATCTGTTTCAGTCTAGCTCGGCTCAGGGTTGTGGGGGGGGCACCGAATGAACAGCCCCCTCAAGACCATGCGAAGTTGAGGCTGGGACAGGTATGCTGAGCTTTGACCGACCCCAAGGTGGGCATCAGGTGGGCATGTGTGAGACTAAGGAGTCCATAACCCCATCCCATTTCACCAAAGCGGGCGCCTATGGGTACATCCCCATTTGCCACAGCAGTTCCTTTCCCGGTTGACCTCGCACTTGAGATCGCTCGAAGGGCTGAAGCGACCGGCCGAACGATCTCTGGTCCTTGGCCTTGAGCGTGGCATCCTCAGCGTCCTTCACTTCGGCCTCCTCTTGGGCCAACCTCGGATGACGGACTTCGTCATCTTCGTCATCTTCGTCCGGCCGAAGATGAAAACGTCTGACTGGTGTAGAAATCGTGTGTGTGTGTGTGACTCGTGTGGGAACAACCCCACAAGACCGCCCAAAAACAAAAAGAACATCGCGATATTCGGCCACCCTTAGCCACCCTCAGCCACCCTTACGAGTCGCACCAGTCACCTGGACCACCGTTGTTCCCAAGACCAACGACATAGGGACGCACCGTTTCGGACTCTGAGGTCGCCGCTTGAGCCAGTCTTCCACTTGGCGCTTCGCTTGGCGTCGAGCACGCCAGGTCGCGGTTTCCTGCAAGCGAACAACAGACCCATTGAACTCCCCTCAGAACCAATTGATAGCCAAGTAACAAGAAGCTAGGCGCGGTGGAGGCCATCGCGTTCTTAGGTTGGAGGCCATCGCTACGAACGTAACAAGAAGCTACTAGTAACAAGGCTTAGAACATAGAACCACTTGAGAACCAAATAACGGCGAACATCATCTGCACATCTTGGCCTACAATTGTCTGTCCCAAATTGAACCCAAACCGAACAGTTTTTGCCGCCTTGGCGGATTCCTCGGCGGCTTTGGCGGCGTTCTTCTGTGCCACCTCGCGCGCCTTCTCTTTGGCCAAGCGCTCGGCTTCCTCCTGGGGGACGATGAAAGCTGGGTCAAACAACGCTGCTTGTGACTCCAAGCTCTCAGTAAGCACCCTTTCCAGCTGTGCGGCCGCACATAAATCACATTAAGTTACTTCAACCTACTATAGCGTACTACAGTATGTAGTCTAATGTAATCTACAGGTATATAACTGTGAGTTAGGGTGCTTTGGCCCCCGCAATTCGTTGGCTTGACGACCAACCCTTATCACTCGTTGAGAAGAACTTCAACAAGACAAGCCAGATGGCCCATCGAATGCAGAAAGCCAGCTAGCTGACTAGGCAGAACTTTGCAAAGAAGACCCCCAAAATGTGTTGCCATGGGCTTTCCAACACGGACTGCACTGCGCCGCAACAGGGCGCACAACAACAACAACAACGACGACGACGACGACAACAACAACAAAGCCCCACAAAGCTGCACAAAGCCAGAGCCAAAACTTGTGGTGTGTCGGACAAATGTAGAACTGACCTCACAGAGCCACGCGTGGGTACAAAGTGAGTGTGTAGAATAGGGAGACCTCCCCGGCGTTCTGACCCCTGTATCACTCCTAGCCCAAACCCTCTCTTCCCTCAAACAGCGCACACGGCTTTGGCGACAGCTCCCAGGGTGGTGCCAGGCTGGGAGCACCTCAGACCTGGCACCAACCCTGGTCCCTAGACAACCATCCATTGGGATGGCGCGATAGGTTCATAAGGCTTCGCGCATTTCACCACAGCTCCCATCTGAGGCAGGTGGCAGGGTGCAAGCAAGGATGCGGTTCCTGAACAAAGAACACCTGTTCAGAACAAATGCACCACCTGTACTCCAGAAACAACAAAATTCAACCGGAAGGGGATTGGGGTGTGGAGAGATTCCCTTATGCAGAGTAACCCTGCAACGTTCCCGTTCGGCAAAGTAGTAAATCAAGACCATCCAAAACCGGGCCAGGGGGCCCTCTGATTCCAAAAACCCACCCAAATCAAGTCCTAGGATCTGGTCTGCTGTGCCAGCGATGTCTTGTTCCGCCGAAGCACGACGCGGCCGACGCGACGCGGGTCACAGAACCGGAAGAGGATCCGGTGTCCGCCCGTTCCGGGCGGTCAGCGAGATCCGCCGAAAGTCCGCGACTTCTTTGATGGTTCAGATCATCGCAAACACTCCATGGGACTGGAATCTATGCCGCCCCATTGACCCCTGGGATCCCATATGGCATACACGGAGCGTCTGGGAATGATAGTGTGGTATGTGAACCTACCAGGACCTACCATGCAAGATGCATGTAACGTTTCCCCCACCTGTGCAATCTACGCCCGATGCGGTCCTGCGCAGCCGCTTCGGCCAACTCAGAGGCCTCAACGCCAGAAAGTCATCAAGGATGCACCGTTGATCCTTCTTGGTCCTATAGACACAGTCATTACCCCAGTCTGCCATAGTGCAAACCTGCAAGATCCTGCAAGGCTTGTTGATCTCATCGCTTTGAGCAGCATCCCAAGATCCTATGTCATTCGACGTTGGAGTTGGGTCTGAGTCCCTTTGAGCAAATCCCCAGGGCTTGGCTGGTTGAAAACTTCCTTCAAAGGGTCAAAGCCTCAGCCGCTCTCGAGATCTGTCGGGAAAAAAGTGTCATCTCCATTCATCTCCAACTCTTCTGACGCTTCTGCCGCTTCGCTCTCTTTTTCGTGAGTTTTGGTGTGGTTTGCTCATGGCTCCATGAGTACAGACCTGTGAACTGTGCCAGGATTACGACCTTACAGTGGATGGTCACTATCGACAAGGACCAAGGGACCTTGGAATATGTCCCTTCACATCCTCCCTGTCTCAGTGTGCTTAAAACAAACCCCACATATCTTGAGTTGTCGATGTTATTTATGTCTGATTATTTCATACCCACCTCTTTGAATCCTAGGGCTCCCCTCAAGGGTTCTTGGGCTGGTGCTTCCTTGCTGCGCTTGTTTCGTCTCATCCTCCTCATGTTCCAAGCAATCCCGGCCACCGCCGTCTCCGCTCCGCGCTCCCGCGCCTCCCGGCGGAGGCCGTACCCGAACCGCGATCCCCCGCGCCTTCCGCTGCGCCATGGCCTCCGCGATCTCCCGCGCCGCCGCTCGGGCCACCTCCACAGCCTTCGCCTCACGGAATCCGTCCGCCAGCGCGAACGAGCGGGGGGGAAGGCTGGCGTGAGAGATCTCCGGGGATCTTCGGGTTCTTCTTGGGGATATTCATATATTCATACCAAGGCCTTCAAGGGCCTAAGGGGTGGTTAAGGGACACCCCTTAACAGCTACGGGGCTATAAATAGACACCCCTTGGAGGGTTATATACATGTGTACGTTACATAAATCCATATACATGGTGGTTGATCAACACTTTCGCGAACAACTTGAATAGGCGAACATAGTGACATAGGCCTGATGTCGACCTTTCGATTGACTACCATGTAATTACTGCATCTAGATCTGTCAGGTGCCTACTTCTGGATTTGTCAGGTGCCTTGGTCTAAGCCTTTTGGGTCTTTCAAGATGGGAAGTGGGAATGTTCTGTTAGTGTAACAAGCATGGAGAGTCCCGCGCGCCCACAGGTTCATCTACAGTATATTATACAAGCATGTTCAGGATCCAGTTTGCTCTTGGGATGCCCTGGAACGTTCTGGTTCTCAAAACGAGAGGACCAGTAGACGCCCTATTGTGAGATGAACCTATGAAGACAATACCCTTGCGCACTGTCAAAATATGTGGTCCTGTAGTTCACTGAAAAATGGCCCACTTATGCCCACTGGCCCTTGCTGGTCGGGTCTGCACTCCAAAAGCCGGAGATCTATTTCTCATTCTGATCCATCCTTTCCATCGTCTCACCAGGTCGCCACCCGGACCCTTGGCATCTCGGACCCTCGGTCACCTCGCCTTGGCCTTCTCCGTGACGACCTCGGCGGCGTGGCTCTCCACCCCGGCGGCCGTCGCGGCGGTGGCCGCCGCCTTGGCCGCCGCGGTGGCGGCCTCGGTGGCGGCCTGCGTCGCCTGCGAGGATGACGAAGTGCGGCCCAGCAGGATCCGCAGATCCGAGTAGCATTCGTTTTGGATGGTCTTTAGGGACTGTGCAGCACTTCGAGAAGTCTTTTAGCCGAGTCAAGAATCATAAACGTTCATTGACGGGCGTTCTTTGATCGAGACGAAAGCTGTTGTAGAAGTTGCGGTGTAGAAAGTCATAGGAAAACCATGGTGCAAACATGGGAGAAAAAAGACTATGTATTTATATATTGACCATCCAAGCATCTAGGGCGCACATTTGGGAGGGCCACAGCATCGTTTTGGTCTGCCGTGAACAAGGTTCCTCATCCTTGTTGTTTGCCATCCACAGCTGGCTGCAGTTCTGTCCTTGCAAATCGAGCAGCGAGCCTTCTGTGATGCAGACTCGATCGCTTGCTTCTTGGCGGTCTCCTGGGCATTGGCCTCAAGTCCGGATCCAGCGGCCCGACACCAACTGCTCCGACACATGGTGAACCCCGACTCAGGCTCCAATCACCAAATCCTACCCCGGGAAGATGGATTTTGAATGGATTTGACCCCTTTGAAAAAACAGAGATGGAGGGGGCCTGAGAGTGTAAAAGAGGAAAAAAACCGAACCCCGGCATTTTGAGATACCTGGGTTCGGTTCAGGAAATAGACCGAAACCTACACTCCCGAAAACTCCACATGGTGGAAGTGGATGGCACCACCATTGCATGTCATTCCTTTAAGGGCCAGGCCATTCTCCACGTAACCATGTGAGTTCCGAGTGTACCCAGCCAGGTTTTGGGGTCAGATAGATATACCAGAACCGCCCTCCATCTCCGGCGCGGACCGAGGCTCCGGACCAAGGCGCGGCCCAGCGCGGTGTTGGCCGCGTAGCGGAAGGCCGCCTCCAGTGCCTGGCTGGTCATGGTCGTGTTGCATCCAGCATCTTAACCTATCTAGTTTCTTTACAGTAAGGGCCATAACGGGTTTCTCATGAAAAACGCCGACTTGTCAATCCCTATTGATGAACGTGAAAGGGCGCCCACTTTCCCTCCCCCTTAGCTCGTGTCTTCTCAAACGCCCAATGTGGCAGAGAATTGGACCCTGCGCGGCCGCCTGCGCGGCCGCCTGTGCCGCCACCTTCGGGTCGGGCGTGCGCGTCATCGGCAGCGGCGGCATGCAGGCGCTCACCACAGCACTGCCCTGCGCCAGGCCCTCGCCGATGGCGCTCTTGGTGCTGCTCCTGTGGGTTTTGCCCCTCGCAACATCGGAGGGTGGCAAGCTTGCTTCTGTGCAGGATTTTGGGGTGTTGGCTTATATAACTGGTACAGGTAGAAATTCTTGATTGGCTTATATAACTGGTACAGGTAGAAATTCTTAACAAACTGGAGACAACAACGATACAAATGGAGTGGTGGTTGGGTGGTGCACCGTCCTCTTCTCCTTCTTCAGAATCATCCAGACAGCTTGAAATAGCTCCCTCGATGGTTTCATCACTAAAGCCTAAAGACATCCAAAGAAAGTTCAAAGACTCTGCTCCATATACACTCCTGCAGATTAACATGAACCCTGAAAACCACTGCATGGTAGATGAGAATAGTCCTACCAGGGTCTCTTTTCATCTCTTTTCAAGCTCCATCTTATTTTCCTCAAGGGGAGCTGCAAGTTAAAGTTGGGAAACAAATGCCCAAAACCACTTCCCAGCCCCCAACAGCCTCACCTGATGGCACTCTGCGTGAAGGGCACTGTAAGCTCTGCCGTGGCCTCGCCCGTGACGGTGGCACCCGCCGAGGCAGAGCGAGTGGCGTTGGCCTTCGCCGTGGCGTCCGCTTTCACGGTGGCTGGCACCTCTCCAGGGGCCGAAGGACTTGCAGGGGGAACAAGACCGCAAGGAATATGTGGGGGGGGATCTCCCAAGGAGATTCGGCGTGTTCTCATCTCATCCTGAAGGCAAGGTTGATATACTGTAATATATATATATATATTATTATATTATATACTATATATCCCGACTTTGCTGAACATCCTCTACCGATAGATCCACGGGGTTCCTCAAGATCCGTGTGCAAAAACGAATGCTGACACCACGATCAATGGGCTTTGTGCGGTACTTGATCCTCATGTTTCGTACTGGCCTAAGCATTTTCCCGGATCCAGTCAAATGAGGTCCGTAAGACCCTGTAGGGTTATGATCCAGAGGAGGGCACCCAACGTCACCTCCCCGGTCTCGGTCTCGGTCTCCGGCGCACCTGGGCCATGTGACCGCCCCGCCGGTCGGGTCTCGGTGTTGAAAGGGGGTGGAAAAACGGTGTGAAACGCGGGCCTCCGAAGTGTGAAACGCGTTTGGGAAAGTTATGGAAAGAACGAGAATATGCCATGCCAGAGTACATACAACACAGTACTTACGTAGTTCTTCAAAGTGACCTTTTGATCTCCCGGTTTGAGGTCACTAGGGCCTGAAGAAAAATCATGGATAAACTGGTCTAGACCAAATGTGACCAAACCTATCAGCGCTTGAAACTCTTGGATCCAGCCGGTGCTCCAAAGCCTGTGCCTTCATGAGCAAACCTGGGGAAACCTCAAATCTTCTCCAAATCCTTGGCTGATCCTCGGGAACGGGTGATCTAACAGCAGGGCGTTCCTGCCTGTGTTCCATCGACACCACCCTTGTTTCATTGATAATTAAGCGTCACCTGGGTTGACCATGGATCCATCCACCCCACCCAAGAACGAAAGAAGATCGAAAGCATCTGTCCCACTCTCCTCCCACCTCTCTCGGCAGCCTGCCGGGCATCCTGGTGCTCCTCAGATGTCGAACAGATCCCATGGTTATTGGCCTAATTATGGACTCCTTTCTTTTTCACGGCTCGTGTGGCTCCTGTGGTATATAAACATATATAGATCTTGGATGGTCCAAATATGATTTAGATTCAGCAGTGTGTGTGTGTGTGATTGTGTCACAATTGTTCAGAATTACTTCCCCCATCTGCCAGTCAGCCAATTGGCGGTACGAAGGTAGGCTGGTTCCTACTCCCCTGGATGAACCTGCATTGCATGATCATATATTATATTATCTAAGCCGGTTCGCGAGCGTTGCTTTGCTAAGCGGTATACTTTCGCGACCCCGCAGGAAAAAAGGTAAAAAAAGAAAATGTTCGTTTTTTACCGTTTTTACCGCGGATATTGTAGAGTAAAAAGGGGCGCCCCCCCGGTAAAAACGGTAAAAAAAGAAAAATTTTGTTTTTTTGCCGTTTTTACCGCGCGGATGCCTCGGATTATCCCGGTAACCCCGGCAACTACGCTAAACCAGCACAGTATATTATCATAAGTTATCATATATTCAGGTAAACCAGCCGCCTTCATCCAGAAAGCGGAGATCTGCCCCTCGAGATCTGCCCAAGAGATGAGAGAAAATTGGTGACTGTAGCGGGAGATTCAAGAAGATCCGAATCCAAAGGGCATGTGTAATTACCCATACCCCCCGCTTTCTTCACGAAGTCCACCCCCTCTTTGCCGCATGTGGATTCCACCGAATGAACCAAGGTCGACGTGTTACATACGACTAGATCATAGTAGATCTATACAGTACTTAGCACGTAGAGTTACTTAGATCATCAATTACACGTGGATTCCCAATGAAGACCAGACCGTTCTTTCCGAACGGAAAGGCCGCGTTTCTGCCGGCTGTCTGTCCCTGTCCCCCGTGCGTCTGACGGCTCCACCTGGAGGATGCTCCAATAGGGGTTGGGTGCCTCCGTCGTGGTGGTCACTGCCTCGGAGGCGTTCTCTGCCGCCTCGAAAAGGCAGAAAAAAGCAGACCGCATCGAAAACGCCTCGAACACCCGTCTTCGCACTGTCGACATGTGTTGTCATAATATAGGTGGTGCTGAATCAATCCATGCATTCTTGAATGATCTAATTCGTCGGACCATCCCAAATCCGCTGCGCCTGCGACTTGGCAGAGGAGTTGGCAGTTGCATTTGCCTCTCCCGACTTCCGCAGGTCCCACCCCTGGCGAGAAGACACGGTCCCGTGGGCCACGGCCAAAAGATTCGGCTCCCTTAACCTCAAGCTCCAAGTGTTCGTGGTGCAGGTGCACTGTGAGATGATGCCACGCAGGTCCGACCGATGTTGTAGGAACCTTTGAAGGTCCGGTCTGGAAGCCGAGACATGGACTGACAGTCCACAACCGAAAAAGCAACCAGAACAGTCCACTGGATCCCGGAAGGTTCCGTGATGTTCTGAGAAAAATAGAGTGGTCATGAGTCGTCAATGCCAGTGTACCAGGTACCATATACAGTACCTATTGGAATCCTATTGGTGTTCACTAGGAGGGTCTCCCTCTAATTCTCCACCAGGAACGTTAAACGGTCCATGCCCTGATCCCAGTCCATCGACATCAAAAAGGAAAACTCCACTGGGCGGCCCGACGCTCCTGCCTGAGCGGATCCGACTCTTCTTTTGTGTCAGACTTATGCATTGCAAAGGAATCAAAGGAACGATGTCCCGGGGCCAGTTGTGATGTAAACGGAAATAATATATACATGTGTTAAAGTCCATCAATGTGAGCAGCGTTTTTGGGGTGCAAATGTACCACGTTTTTCCACCACGAAGGCGATGATCAAACAAAAACACTGTTCGTGTCAATAATAGTCACAGTCTCATGATTTCTTATGCAACTGAAGTCCAAGTCAGTTCCGCATCTTGAGATTTAAATGTTTTGTGCATCAGCAATGCTGTAGTCTCTCTGTTGCTCCGTTGCAGGTCTGCAATCCCCTCCGCCCACTCGAATCCCCATGTTTCATGCAAAACCCCCACCTGACACTTGTTCACCACCACGAATGTCTGGCATGGTGTTCATTGACGAAACCCATGGGAAACCATTTTCCACCTGGTTTCCGCCTGTGATGTTCCACCAAGTCGCTACCATCACCAGCGTCACCGGCAGCAGCGTCACCGGCAGACGCGTCACCGGCAGACTCGCCGGCCTGGATGAGACCGATGGCAAAAGGTGCCCCCAAGATCCTCAATGTGTAAGATGCCTGAAACCTTCTGACCAAAACCTTCGGTTTCTGTCACAGATGTCGACTGTCAACCTAATCATATAATATAATATATATATACAGTATATATATGTCGATCAACATAAGTCAACCTAACCAAAGTGTCCGCCAGCGGCTCTTCTACATTAAGTGGGGAACGGCACCACTCTCTAAAAAGGCGAATGTAAACAAGAAGAACTTCGTCTGGAAGAGACCCACATGGAACCTGAAAACCACTGAGCTGTAGAGGAACATCGTCTTCCAGTCTGGTCCATGCCAAGCCCGGTGCCATGTGGATGTTGCTCGTTTTTATTCGTTCATCCCTTCTATTTGGTCCCCTTGTCACCGTGACCGCTCCGCGGGTAGGACACCGTGTCGTCGATTCGCTGGACCCCGCTGGACTTGGCACGCCGCACCTGCTCAGACTGGGCAGAGGCGTTGCCAGTGGCATTGGAAGACGTGGGCTCTTGGCCCGACTTCAGATCCCACCCCTGGCGGGAAGAAACGAAGGTCCGGTGGAGGTCCGCGAAAAAAAATATAAAACACTCTTCAGTTGCAATGAATCCGACGAAAATGGAATTGATAGAGGAAAAGCGACGACTATCTGAGTCAAATCTGTGTTGCATAGGTTCACAAAATTCTCAGTGCCGGTCACCTGTATTTGGTACTTTGGGACACTCCAAACATTCCATTTGGGGAGAAAGTCTTGAACATTCAGGGCAGCCCGACCGCCACATCGCTGCCTCAGCTGAACAACAAAAGTTGCAACTGCCTTTTCTGCCCAATGAACGCTGACGTGTACAGTAATTGGGGTACCTCCCATCTTATATATGAATACGAAACATGTATTCTCCTGCATGATCGCATGATTTTGGCAACACATGATGCTGATTCGGCTGGGCCGCGAAGTGATTCCATCGTCTTTGTGGAAATCCTACATCGGCTTGATTGCAGTTACCAGTTCCCATGCAAACATGATTCAGGAAAGCCCATCCGAGATGTTAGGCAAATGTCGATTCTTCTAGGGCACCATGCTTCCTGGTGTTTCCTATTGATACTATTGATACTCCCGACTCCCTTCCTTCTTCGGGTAAGGAACACCGGTGGCCCAATCTGGTCCCTCCAAGTCGCTGTTGGCAGTCGCTGAAGCATTGGCCGTGGCGGACTCCGTGGCCTGACACGACGGGTGTACCAGCAGTTCTGCAAAAGATCCACCAGGCTCAAATCCGCTGAGCTCCCCAGAAGATCCGCAAACAAAGAAACGGTTGGTTGGGCTTTGAAGCAAACATCCCAATTGGATCCTGTCCATGTGTTTTGATTGTACCTCTCAGGCCCATGTCGTGACTCGGAAAAGTGCTCGTTGGGGGTTGAGAACATGATTGTTGCATTACAAAATCCTGATGTCATGCACCTCCGCCTCGATGTTGCTTTGCCGGACAGTGGCGGTCTCCTGGTGCAGTCAAACGGCCAAACAGCGTGGGCGTTGCCCACAAAAACTATCAAAAATTAACATCTTCCACGACTGACCCTGTCACATGTCTCACCCCTCGCTCACGAGCACCACCGCGTGAGCACGGTCCTTGGCACTGGCGTGAGCACTCTTCGTGCTCACCGCCTTCACCGTGACTGTCTTCTCCACCGACATCCTCCAGCCGTTCAGGGCGGGCGCTCCGGCTCGCCGGAACGTTCCCGATCCGATCGTTAATGGATGTGCTGCCCGTTCCTCCCCAAAAAAGGGGCACCAAAAAGCCGGCATGGTCGCAATCTGAACATGTGACATCCTGATGAAACCGGATGTTCTCCTTCAACTTTTGGGATGCGAAGACAGCAGCACCTGCATTCCTATTCATCTCAGAAGCACTGCTTTGTGATCCACTCAGTGCCAACAGGTTTCCCTCCCCACACCCCTCACTCGTGTTTTCGGCCTCACATGGGCATGGGGCACCGTGACGCGCACCGTGGCGCAGGCCGGGCCACTGACCGCGAAGGCCTTGGGGCAAAAGGCCTCGTGTCGCTCCATACCTCGTGCGGCTCAATGGGATGACCCACTGCGGAGAAAGGTATGCAGGTCCCGGGGGGGGGGCGGCTCAATCTGCCAAGTAAACCTGCACTTGGTGTGAGGTATCTGCAGTCTTGTGGAGTGGTGCCCCCAGATCCAGTGGTGCTGGCGCGAGTGGAGATACGGAACCTGCAATGCTTCTATCGAAACCTTGTGTTGGGGGGTTCATCTACCTTGTTCATCTTGTTCTGTGACCTCATGACTTTGCCCACTTCGCCGACTCCCATCTGACCTACCTGGTCCTCGAAGTGCTGCCAAAGCGCCCCACTGACAATGGTCGTTGGGGTCGCAGTCCATGCACATGGCCTGACAGGCAGTCCATGGGCCACACCCAAGTCGAGGGGTGTCGCATGGTGTCAACATAGCCTAGAAGTCCAAAGACTATATTTTGACCGGCTGAAGTAAAGGAAGTTCCCTTTCAGGTCCCCTAAAGACCATTCTTTTTCTAGTCTTTGACTCCCAGGGTATATACATGTCTAGTTTCTGCCAGTTGAGAGGTTGAGACCCGAACTGGGACCTTCTAGTGGTACGGAATGGTACATCCCTACACCTCCAGTCGTACCTCCTCAGGTTCAATATTTAAACCCTCCTGGCACATCTCCACCCCAGTCCCACCGAACCGACCCGGTTCGGTACGAAAACGGATGCGCCAGCTCCGACATCGCGACGCCAGCTCCGACATCGCGACACCCGTGGCGGTGGCAACGAAGACCACCGGAGAGAGCACCACAACAAAGCAAAAAGCTCATGAAGTTCATTGAAGTTCCTATGTTACTTATTGGGGCTCTGTTTTCACAGTCGCACGCCCCAAAATGCTGTAAATATATGTAAATACTGCTGCTTTGGGTTGGTGGCCGTGCATATTCCGGGAATTTCATGGAATTTCCAAGATCTGGTGGGTTGTTTGTCTTCTCAAAATTCGGAGACCAAATGGGTCCAGATCTATTCTCCCGTGCTGGCAGTGTCTCGAGATCTTCCTTGTTTGAGACACCCACATGTTGAAATCGGCAAGCCAAACCATGCCTGCTTCAAGATGGAAGCATCATCTGACTTCCCATCACTGTCGAACTCCATGGGAATCTTGCAAATCAGCCCATCCTGCTGTTTGGGGGCTCGTCTGGTGGAGAGACTGGGTGGCGCAAGCAACACATGTCAGCGGAAAGAACTCAGCTTGGATGCCATGTCAGGTCTCAACACTTGCCAAGCAAGCACAACAATGGGAATCCCCACATCCAACGGACAGGCTAGTGATACGATGGAAGAACCGTGGTGCAGGATCTTTTCCTATAATTATATGTAGGACGCAGGAGGATAGCGCCAAAAGCCCTTTGGAACGCCAGTGGTGCTACCAGCTGGTGCCAGCAATGGGCTGTGCTTACTACCAGGAACATGATAGCTCAACCTTGTCTGATACCTGAAGATGCTCATATTAATGGCACATTCAGTTTGGAGCGCGACATCTTAGGGACACCCTTTATTTTCGGGCAAACGAGCACCTCATAGAACTGTGGTCATGCAAGCCGTGGCAAATGATATACCCCAAAAAAACTATTCGTCTGCTAATAAACCTTGCGAATTTACGAGGATTCGGCGGGGGTTGGGGGCATCTTGAACCTGATTGACCTCAAGAAACCCCCAACTGCCCAGCAGACAGTGCACAGCTCAGATCATGAAGATTCTCTTGGAGTTCAGAAAGGCAGTTATATAGGTAATGGTGAACATGGTGAACATGATGAACCATCCCAGTCGCTTTACCATCTAAGTCGCTTTGACTTCCACATCCAAAAGAATCTGGAACCGTTTTTTCTCTTGCGACAAAAACGGAGGACACGTCGTTCAACGCGCCGCCTGACACACCGCGGGCCAGAGCCGGGGCGAGCCCATGCCGCCGCAGTTGAGACCCTTGGACTGCTGAGGGAGGCCTCGGGGTCCAGTCGAAACTTGATGCAAATAAAAGGTGCTGTTTGATCTGGATCCATTTCCGAGAACAGGTTGAGGAATCAAAGTATGTTTACATGTATGTATGTACGTACGTAACGTACGTACGTACGTACGTACGGAGGGAGGGAGGGATGGATGGATGTATTAATGTAATGTAATGTAATGCAATGCAATGCAATGCAATTTTATGGTTATGTATGGTATATTATGGTATGGTATGGTATGTACTTTCCTCCGAGTGCATTCTTGGGAACAAACATCATCAAGTTGCCACGAACATGTAGTTGGGCGGCTTGAATTGTCGCTTCAAAATATTCCTATACAGCCGGAGGTGCATTTCTGCAGCTCGCTGTGCCAAAAGCTTCCCAGGCCGCACATGCACTCATCCAGCGCCTGGTTGAAGCAGCCGAAAGTATCCGAAAGTGCCATTCCAGTGTGGGCATATACACGCACATGAATCCACCTGCTGGTGATACCAATCACTAGGAGCGAGCTCCATTCAAATCAGCAAGCCACCAAGTCTCTCTTCTTTCTGGGTGGCTGCACCTCTGTCCATGGAATTCAGATGAATTCAGTCCCCTTGAAGCCACTCTGCTCTGCTTGAACCAAACACTCTTCCCAAACACGCAGGGCTTCCCGACGTCCCACACTTATAGCCCACACCAATCCATAGGTCCCAACCGACCGTTTCATGATCACCCGACCTGCAGATCTGCAGATCTGCCGAATCCCCCACGGTCCCCGCGTCATCCGACCGGACCCCGGGGGCCGGCCCACGGTGCACCCGTGCATCACCCATCACGGTCCCCCCCCCACGGCGCCTCCACACTGACGCTGGTCTTGTTGATCAGCTCCACGTGGGGAGCCCGGAAGGCATCGGCCTCGCTGCCGAAGGGCTGGACCGCCTCCTCGGGGGCGAGCGGGTCGCCGAAGGCTTTTGCGCAGGGAGAAAACGGGTTGGTCATGGTTGGCCAGTGGCCAGATGTGGCCATCCCATTGTCCAATGGACGAGTCTTGTAGGGTGTCTATTGGAGTGATAACTAAGGGGTGATCTGCAGGGAAGGCACCTTCATGCATCTTCTTTCCCATCCAGAACCGCCCTGTTCGCTCCACACCGAGACACCAGATCTTGCATCTCTCTCGGGCGCTTGGCCAGCAGCACTGCCGAGACATGCAGCGGCCATGCCACGGCCAGCAGGGCACACTTCATTGGACCTCAGGTGTGCGGGAGGAGGCGTGGTCAAGACAGCACGGGGTGCTGTTCCCACCACAGGCTGCGTTAGGCACGGTTCCTTGCGGACAAGTCAACCTGGGGCCCCCCTCCGGTGGAGGCGATGAAAAACCTCCCTCCGATTGAGCCGCAACGGCTGCGATTCAGCCAAAGCCAAAACGGTTCCGGGCAAAGGATAAATATAATGTTAAAGGGATGAATCGGGAAGGAAATTCAACAAACTGCTTGGAATGATATGAGTAATGCCATAATTGCAAGATAGCGGGTTCGCACGCTAGGGGGTCATGCGCAGCACAGTCTGCGTCTTTTCGAGCATAGCTCAAGGGCCCTGCGGTCACAGGGTCGTGAGGTTCGAACGACATGGACACATGCCAAACTTGCACTGGTCTTTCTTTAAAAAGACGAAAAAGTGCTTTTGAGGTTCTGTACAGTGCTATGGACTCCGCGACTGCATGTCAAAGTCGTCGATGGAGTCGCTTCGGCCGCCACCATGGAAAGGCGCCCTTCGTCAAGGATCTTCCTCAGCTCATGCTGGGGCTTGATCTTAGTCAAGTGGTCAGCACGTTGAACGTGTGTCGAGACCCACTTGTAGACGTCCTTGACGTTCTCTCCGGAGGGCTCCAACTCTTCAGCCGCTTCTCGCAATGCGCCGATGTCCAAGGTCAGGCGCTTCTCCTGAGTGCTTCCCAAGGGGCCGTCCTTCACCAGGAGGTCGTAGAGCGAGCGGCAGTCTGTGGCAGTGGCTGCTGGAAAAATCTCGGGCGCCAATCTACCCGATTGCGTCGGCTGGTAGCTCTCGATGAGCATCTCGGCCAGCAGCTCCCTCGTGAACAACACTGCATCTGTGGCAGCGTCCAATCCCATGGTTTCCGCAGCAAGCGTAGATCTGCACTTGCGACGGATCCTGTGTGACCTCCATTCCACCAGGTTCGCCACATCGCCGGCCAAGGTGAAGACCTCTGGGCCAGTGATGAAGACCAAATAGCCAGCCTGGGACTTCAAGTCGTCCGTGTTCGCCCATGATGCATCGCTAAAGCTGATGATGCGGGCTTTCGTCAAGTCCAATGGCCGGAATTGGAGTGCCCAATCCTTTGATTTCAATGCCTCCTTCAAGAGGTTGTTGATGGCGAGGAGGTTCTGGATGGTAGGATTTCCACCCATGTTCAAGGATGTTCCTGCGGCCAGGTCGGGACGTGTCTGTCCGACAAGCCAATGCAAGCAGCCTCCACCGCTCTTGAGCTCGGTGGTTTCTTGGGCGTTGAGTGCCGAGTCCTTCATGATGGTCCTCCACTTCGGCACGGGTGTCAATGTCAAAGCCCTGATGAAAGCTTCTTGCGACAGGGTGATGATGTCGCCCTTCTTGGAAATCTCCTTGCCGCCATAAATCAAAGTTGGCTCCTCTCTGATGTCCTTCCATTCACCAAAGTCAAACTGGGCTCGAAGACGTTCAAGGACTTTGTCTCCAACTCCAGGCTCGCCCACACATAGAAGGTCATCCACGTGTGCGCCAACTGCCACAACCAGTCGCTTGTCCTGGTAGAAGAGGAAGACGGCCTTGTCGAGCGTCGACTGCATGAAGCCCAACTTCACCATGGAGTCCCGCAGGTGCCGCCTAAAGAGGCGTGGTGAGTTTGCCAAACCAAAGATGCCCCTAACAACCAAAAGTAACTGGCCAGGGTGTAGTCCTGGTAGTCCTTCTTTCGGCTGCCTCACAAACAAAGGCTCTTTCCTTTTCGCTAGGGCCTGATCGCCCTGCAAGAACGCGCCGGTGATGTCAGCGCAGATGATGAACCAGCCCTTGTGAGCAGCTGCAAGTTGCAGGAGGATCATGAGGCTGAGACGTGTCATCGTGGGAGCGTCTCTTCGAAGTTCCAGCAAATCTGGATCTGCATCTCCTCTGCAAACGATGCGGGCCTTTGGTTTGATCTCCAACCAGGGCGTTGCGGCGTGCTTGTCACGGTAGCACGCCCGAGCCGCCAAGATCCGAGCGGGATCAAAGGACAGTTCCACCTGTCGGCTGCAGTCCCAACTCAACACACGAACGGCCTCGTAGCGAAGCCAGGTTGTCCATTCTTTGACCAGCGCCTGTCGGTAGAGCTCCCGTTGGTCTTCAGGAATTGCACTCCAGGGAAGCTCCTTCTCAAGTGCTTTGCGCTCTTTACGGCTGATCTCGGACTGCATCTCCAGCACGTTGTGGATCATCATGACGTGGCTCTTCTTGTCGATGATGGAGAAGATGGTCACGCCAGTCCAGACCTTGCCCATGACTTCGGCTCCACGTTGGACCCAATCATCCACGTGCTTAGTCCAGCCGGTGTCGGTTTTCATCCATGTCACTCTCTTGGTTCTCCATTTGTCCAAGGGAAGTGGAAGTGCTCGGACACGGCCAGGGTCGTATAGGGCTCGACGTGGTCGAAGGCGTTGTCGGAGAAGTAGTGCACGGTCAGGAAGCCATTTCCACTTGTCATCGGTGTGCACCAGCTCCACGTTGTGCTCTCCAGGTGGTGTTGCAGGTTCTAAGACCATAGGTTCTTCTGGTGGATTACTTGCCTGTGAACCACTTGGTGTGGTCTTCAATCTCTTTGGAGGTGCTAGGGATTCTTCTCGGGACGAGGGAGGCCTGATGATGCCTGTCACTGGCGTCCCTGGTGCTCTTGTTGAAGTCCCGGCCGCCAGAGTAGTCAGATCGGAACCTGTCGAAGCGGCTCCATCTGGTTCTGGAGGTGGTGGATGTTGATCAGCTTCATCAGTCTCCATCTCTGCCTCCTGCTCCTCAGGGAACTCGTCGATGAGGTCGTTGAAGACACTATCGTCATCTTGGAAAAGAGGGATCTGGTCTTCACCATCCTTGAGGTCATCATCCTCCGGAACCGGTGGCAGATCGCTACTTCTCAGGTCGTAGTACTTGTCCGGAGGGTTCTCCTGGAACTCCTGGAGGATGTGCTCATGCACGGGCCAAAGTTCTGTTCCAAAGGCGGGTCGAAGTTGTTCTCGAGCGACCAGAACACAGCGGCCTCCAGAAGCGACCCAGTAGTTGCTTTGCTTGACCGAAGAGTCACCCTTGTGAGGCCCGATGATGGTGCCTCTGTACCAGGAAGCTGGAATGCGCTTCCCTTTCTGCCCTTTCTTGCCTTGCCTGTATTTGGCTTCTCTCCAAAAGGCGACCAGTTCACCTGGATGGTAAAGCTCCTTCGCTGGGTGTGACTTACGAAGGATGGCGGTACGCACCGCTTCATTGAGGCGATAGGCAGAAAGCTTCTCATCGGCCAAAGCCCGTGTGCGGGCGCGCTTCTTGAGCTCATCGTCCAGCTCCATGGCCTGCAGCGCCTCAAACTTGCCGTCCGGCGACAGAATGTCCTGTGGCAGGACAGGACTCTTGCCGAACACCCACTGGTAGGCAGAGCATCCCGCGCTCCGTATCCGGTCGTTCATGGCTGCGCCAACGGCGCAAGCTAGAGTGCGCATGTCTCGCTCTCCAGCGAGGTTCAAAGCATCCACGAGCTTGGAGGCTACGTGTTGGAAGGCACGGTTATATGCCTCGATCTGTCCCACTTGCCAATGTGCTTCAGCAGGGGGGCAGTCTATGTTGACTCCCATGTTCCTCATGCGCTCTGCAAACTCGCCTTGGAAAGCGCCGTCCTGGTCAATCCAAAGCTCTTTGGGAAAGCCTGCCCAGGAGCACCACAACAAGGTCACCAGGTCGAAGATCTGGCCAGGCTCTCGTGTGGGGCATGGCCAAAACACGTTGAAGGAACCGTTGGGCTCCAGGATGTGCAAAAAGGCGAAGTTGTCCTTGTTGGCATCCGGGGCGTAGACAAAGTCCAGGCAGAGCTTACTGTTAAAGGAGCCAATGACCTTGAACGAGGTGGGCCTTGGTATTCCAGGCTTCTTGGTTCTCTCGCAGGTAGCGCATCTCAACCTGCGGCTAAGTTCAGTCGCATCGGGCTCAACTGTTCCATCTTGGATCAAGGCCCTCGTCAGGTCGGCTTGTGAAGGGTGGCCCAAGTTCTTGTGCAGCTTTGCCAGTATTGGGGCCAACTTCTTCTGCTTGTTGTTGAGAGGTGGACCAATGAACCATTGCTCATCTCCGCCAACGGACTGCTTGGTCAGTATTGGCGATTCCAGGTCCACTGTCGGGTCGGCTTGCGCTGATTGCCTTGGAGGTTCTTGTTGAGGAGCGGGTTCTGCTGGGTCTCCTGGAGGATAGCCCAGGACGAAGATGCCGAGCCTCACGGGGTAGACAAATCGTTCCCTTGGGGCCTGCGCCGTCTTGAGGTGCTCGGTCTCGATGGTGAGTGAATCATCTGCATGTAGTAGCACCGAGCAGCGATGGCATTCTTCTAGTCCAGGTCGAACTCGCTTCGCTTTTGGCAGGTGTGCCAACTGGATGTTCATGATTTGCCAAGGAACCAATGCCGAGATCTTGGCATAGAGAGGTGAATCCGGCGGCACGAAAATGCTGCCTTGGTTCTTGCGACCCAAGACCTCCATGGCCTCTTCAAACAAAGGCCGCCACTTGTCCTCGGACTTGTCCGCGTCCACGAACCAAGCCGTCTTATAGTCCTCCTCCTCGTTGAAGGTCTGGGTGCCAAAGTCTTCCTGCTCAACCACTCTCCAGAAGGCGCGACAAATGGCGTCTGCCAGAAAAGGTGGGTAGCATGCTGAGGCTGCAGTATTGGAACCTTGCACGGGTTCATGTTGGTGCGAGCCATCGCACTGTGCGTCCAGCTCTTCAATGAAGTAGGAGTGAGTGGCGATGAAGCGAACCCGCTTCATCATAGGCCTGCCAGCCTTCCCAACTAACCCGAACATGCAGAGGCAACTGTTGGTCTCATAGTACTTCTCCCGAAGGCGAAGAATCTCAGGTTGCCGTTGTGAATCTGCAGTCGCGGGGTTCTCGCGTAGAGCATGGCCTCCATTCTGTACCTGGACGGAGAAGATGTCCTCCGTCAGCTTCAAGAAGGGTCGGTCACGTTCTTGTCGAGCTTCCAACTCCTCGGGCTTGTCCTTATAGTTGACGTTCCTTTGCAGGATGGTCCACGGTGTGCAGGGGTACTCCACGATGGCCAAGCGAACCGGGGTCTTCTTGAGGTTCTGAAGCAGCCATCTCCTCATTGATCTTTGCCGAAGATCCACACCGTACCGGATGTCCAAGGGTTGAAGCGCCCTCATCCTCCACAAGGTGGTGCCACGTATCGTGACCATGGAAGATCCACCGAACACTTCGATGAGGTCAAATCGGAAGTTGGAACGTGGCCACTTGGACTTCTGAAGCTTCTGCATCACCATCTTCTGTTGCCACTTCGAAGATGACAAAGCTTGCCGGGCCATGTTCTTCATCCGCTTCTGTTGTCCAGGCTTCAGCTTATGGGCTTGAAGAGGTTCATCTAGCCTTCGAACTCGTCCTCGCTGATCATGACCGCGTCGTTCTCGTCCAGCGAGTAGACCACGGGCACTCTGGTCGAAGTCTTCTTCGTGCCAGTGGGCTTCTTCTCTTCCTTCACCTTGGCTTTCGCCTTGGCCTTGATGTCCTTGAAGTCCGGAGCTCCATAGGCCATCTCCGTAGACGTATGTCGCGAGGAAGACGAGTAGCCAGAGGATTTGCTGGATGAAGCCTTTATTGAAGGTTCCGGGCGTGCTGTCGCGCCCTTGATGACCTTGCCGCCTGGTCGATCGCGAACTCCCACCAAGACCTTGTACACGGTCACCAGCTCGTTCTTCAGCGGGATCGTGTAGTCCAAGCCGCGCCACACCATCCCACAGTTGACGCACTCCAAAAACTTGCCATGGGCGTTTCCATACCTCCTTCCATGTTCGAGGAGGTGTGGGCATCTGTCCGGCTGAGTCCGGTAGTGCAGGTTCATCGGATGGGGCGTCTGTCCGCGAGCCAAGGTCGTTGCCGGTGGCAAAGCCGGTGGAAGGTCCTCCATGTAGGTCGCATCCATCTCGACCAGAGCCTCGGCATAGCCCATCAGCGCCGGTGAGCGATACTTCAACTCTCTCACCGCCTTCGTTGAAGCCACCATCTTGTGCACCACGTGGATGTAGGTCAGGAGGCTGCGCACCAAGCGTCCCCATTGCTGCGTCTCGTGGTCGCCAGGGACGTGAGCTTTCCTCATCGAGGGGCTTGGTCGCGATGCTGTCTCTTGACCCGAACTCTCCGGGAGGCACGGTGAATCTCACAGCTTGTCGATCCACCGGCAAATCCGGTGGGTGTACAGAAGCATCAAAAGCTTTCAGGACACGTTTGTGTACGGTGCACTTGACTGAAGATGGATGAACGCGAAGGGTCTCACCTGATTCTAGCGACACATCTACACCAGCTGGTTGCCAGGGCTTCATGACTGCATGAATGTCGAGCGTCGAGTCGCAGTCACGGCCGAAGAGGATGGTGTAGCCCGTCCAAGGTGCTTCAGATTGAGGGGTGTCATCCCAAGTGTCCACCAATTCTTTGTTAGACCCATGCTTGATGGTGATCCTGAGGGGTTGCAGTTCATCAGGTCGGGGACCATCAACCACTTCAGAAGGGGTGAACCTTGTGGATCTTGGACGGTGGTGGTGTCGAACATATACCTGAGGATGATCGAGGTGGTATTCCCATGTATCTGACTGTATAGTGCATGGAGACCTCATAGTGACTACGCCATCAGAGAAGGGATCATCCTCAGGGTTGTAGACATGGGTGCTCACGTTGGAGGGCTGCGTATAGACTTTTCCTGTGGCCCAAAGGACTCCAGCGTAGCCGTCATGGCATGCTGTGCGGTCTTGTGGCCAGCCTGCAGCCGGAAAATCATCAACTGCCACAACCAAATGTCCGGTGTGGTCTACAAAAAGATCCGCAGCGGCGTCTAAGGCCTTGAGGTAGTTCTGCTCTCCAACGTCGATCACGGCTCGAACGAGCCTCAGCCAGTCTTGTCCAGCCAGCCAGGGGATCTTGCCGCTGTTGGGGTCCGTGTCGTCCAGAGTGGACGTCTTGATCACTGTCGGTCGTCCACCGATGCCTACCGGCACGTGCCATCGGTGAAGTGAGGTGCGAGGATCTCCAGGACCAAACCTGTAGGATTCCTTCTCCTCAGTGACCAGGGGCCGGACTTCGAACTTGCGCTGCAAGATCTCCGCGACATGTCGGAGCTGGGTGAGGCCACCAACGGTGTTCTCACATGCAGTGTCAATGGTGAGGTAGGCGCCGTTCTTCTGCACGGTAGGCCTCATTCTCGTGTTGCTCAATGCGCCACGAGGGTTGCACCAAGTGATCTCCGCCATGTCGTCCTCGTCCGAGGTGATGTCATAGTCAATGGGGGAGTACTGCACCATGTGAACAGGTAGAGGTCGATCGTGTGGAAGGCCTCGAGGTAGGCATTCTCCAGGAAGTCCGTGTGCTGGTACTTCGCGATGTGGTCTCTCCGCATTGACTGTCAGCACCACTCGTAGCTTGTCCAAGTCGACATCCGAGGTTGCCGAGGAGGAAGACGGTGGGCGTAGTAAATCCCACACTGAGAAGCCAAGGTCGTCATCTGCTTGAGGGAGTCCAAGACGTTCTCGTGCTTCCTTGATGGCCTCCGGCGCAGTCGATGCATGGCCGCGAGCCTTCATCCGCTTCTCATCCATGTGCTTCTGCACCTCTGCCGTCGCGGTGAAGACGTCGAAGGGCTTGTCCTTGCTGCGGGCATGCTCGGCCAGGAGGACGGATGCAGCCTTGGATGGTTCGGTCTTCTGCCCTTCGCCAGTCGGATCTGGCTCTGCTGAGCGAACCTTCCGCTTCATGCGGTTGATGTCTCGCACCACTTCCAAGGCGTCTTGGGCTTCCAGCTTGATGTCGGACTTGTCCACCTTCTGAGTGCGGTAGACGGTTGACGAATTTGTTGGCTTCGCCTGTGCATTGTAGTCGGAAGACTTAGGAGACGAAGTAGTTGGCATCTTCTGGCTGTAGAGCTCGTTCTGGTCGTAGCCACCGCCAGTCATCCAACCTTCACGCTGGTGTTCTTCATCTTCCTGCCATCCATCCCAAAAGGCATCGTCCCAGCCCTCTGCAGCGTCCTCATAGTCGAGGTCATAGTTGCTGGTCTCGTGCGCCTTCTTGGGACCTTTGCACTGTGGATCACCTTTCCAGTGACCCTGCTCAGCTCACCACAAGTGGTGATCTTCTTGAGTTCATCCAGGCTCATGCCACGGGCCTTGCCCTTGCCAGAGCTCGAAGAACCCTTGGAAGGTCGCGAAGTCGAAAGAGAGGAGGTAGATTTGCCCTTGCCCTTGCCCTTGGTCTTACAAAAGCCTTTGCCGCGGCCCTTGCCGTGGCTGTTCTTCAGGTAGAAGCCTCTGGCCTTCACAGCCTGCGCCAGCTTCTGCCTGTTCTCACGGTGTGTAGCAAACACCTCATGCAACTGTCGGGCAAGGTACTCGACGTCCGCGTCCGCCAAGTCTGTCTGAACGGGGTCTTCCTTCTCCAGCCATGTCTCCAGGTCGACCTCGGTGTCGTAGGTCTCATTGCCATCCCAGTGGCCCTGAGTCTCGTGTGCTGTCCTTGACTTGCCATAGCCGCGACCAGTGTTTTGGTCAAAAGCGCCACGGCGAGCGTTGACATAGGTCTGAGGGTAGAGGAGGTCCACGGCGGCCTTGATCTTCTTCCACTCATAGCCGCCTCCGGTCCGCAACAGGATGTTGGCCTGTCGCTCCAAGCTGCTATTGGTGTGCTCGAAGAACATGTAGGTCATGACCTCGTCGGGGATCACCAAGCCGGCTTCCTTGCACTGCCTCGCAGCCTTGTCCAGCATGTCGCCAACTTCAGCCAAGGTCCTGCTCTTGTCGTTGACGGTCATCCGGAAGAAGCCGCGCATTGCAGAGCCAACCTTGTGCATCCTCTTCTCGTCGAACTTCTCCTGCAAGACGTGGATGAGGATGCGCCAGCCTTCAGGGACTCCGAACGTGCGGGCAGGCACGTCTTCCAAGTACTCGGCTGCATCACCTTCTAATGCAGCATGGAGGCGAAGTCCGATCTCCGAGTCGTCGATGATCTTCTTGGCGATCTCGATGTACGAGTCGACTTTCTGCACCCAATGCTTGAAGCATTTGACATCTTTCTTCCGGTCTCCATCGAAGGCCGGGGCCTGAGGCAGATTGCCTCGTGGTCGATGTCGTGGTCCTCCATCCTCATGAGCTGCCTTCGAACGGGTGCTCGAAGGCGAACTGCCTGCTCCTGAGCCGGACGCTCGGGGAGCAGAGGGGCTCTGACGGGGCCCATTCCGACCAAGACGAAGTCCTCGAGGAGGTCCAGTGCCGTAGGCCTCCGCCAGTTCCTCATCATCGTCTTCGGGGTAGGTGTCACCGGCTTCATCATCCGGCTCGTTGAAGCTGTCTCCACCATGAAGTCCTTCTTCAGGTAGTTCAGGGGGTAGTGCTCCATCGTCATCATCATCATCGCCTTCATGGCGGTCGCCAGCAGCGCCGAAGAGGTCAGCAGCGGCCGGCATGGACAGCGAGCACGGCGATCGAATCGCTCCGCTGCCAATGCAAGATAGCGGGTTCGCACGCTAGGGGGTCATGCGCAGCACAGTCTGCGTCTTTTCGAGCATAGCTCAAGGGCCCTGCGGTCACAGGGTCGTGAGGTTCGAACGACATGGACACATGCCAAACTTGCAATAATGCTGCTTCAAGCAGAAATTGTGATGTGCTCCTCAGCTCCTTGGGGTTCAAGGCTGGTCATGAAACAACTGTATACATCTGCATGCTACAGTATTGCTTGTACCTCTAAGACGTCTACTTGTAACTTGTAGCTTGCTGATTGGCACGACGGAATCACCAGTTCACGGGTATTCCATTGAACTTCCAGGGGGATGTTTGACCCATTCCATTCGTCCATTCTCAGCGCCTCCCCCGTTGCACCATGGAGTTGAGGACTGAAAAACCTGAATCCATCGGTCCGCCAGAGACAGAGGTCCACACGCTCTTCGTTGCAAGCTTCACCTAACCGGGCGTGAAGCGACATGATTGGCCACAGGCTGGGGGAAAGGACAATGGCCGCAGGCTGGTGTTCAATCGAGACGATGAGATTGACATTTTACCAAACATCAGGGAGCTCTCGCCCACCTCTGTCCTCTGTCCTCACGGACATGGGAAGTTTGGATGAGTCACCCAACCCAAATGCCGTGTCCCCCCCGTCGTGTTCGTCCAGACCCCACGACCTGCCATGTCGGTCCACCGGCGCGGTCGGTCGTCGGTCACATCGGCGGGTCCACGGCGCCTTGAGGGTGTCAAAGGGGAAGGCGGCTGCTCGCCCCAGCAACCTCATCCATCGGAACTGCGTGGTGTTTTTCCGTGGCTTTTTCTCGGCAGAATGAAGACGAGTTCTTTCAGTTCTTTCTCAAAGGAGGGGGTCTTGTGCCCGGAACCTATGGCTCTATAGATGGTTTGTATGTTCATGTATGTTCAGTCCACCCAGATGCGCCAGGCAAAGGACTCAACGCCCCCTGGCTGGGCTTTTGAGGTTTTTCCGTGAGAAGTTGGGCACTTGGTGAAAAGCGGACAGGTGAAACCACGTGTGAAATCATCTGTGCAGATGAAATCATCACTATTTGTGCATCTTCCCATCAGGTCCCATCCAGTCTTGAAACAGGTGAAGCATCACCTCCACATGTTGCTGGGAAGCCAGACCCCCCAAGACCACCAGTAATGCCCTCGGCTACAAGCTCCATGGCATCAAGGTATAGCCAGCGTTTCAAAGGAGCACATGATAATATTGATAAGCATTGATCGATGTTGATGTATCTTCGCGTCTGAAAGTTGCATCTTCAGGGACCTGTCTACAACTCTTCAAACTGAGTGGGTGTTCACTGTGTTCCCTACTCTATTGCACTATAGGCAGTACAGTCTCCTCTCGAGTGTGGACTTGACACTGGGCAGCAAGGTAGATTCAAATCAACTCCTACTCCAAAAGACTTATGTCGCCTTGCACAGCAAACAAACATGCTGGCATGGAGTCCTTCTTCCGGCGTGGAGTCTTTCTTCAATGCATCTTCTTAACAGCAGCTTGAGCCTACCTGACATTTGTGAGCAGCATGGCCAACCATCTGTTCGGCTGCAGTTATGCATTTCAGACATGGGCCATGCCTATCTCCGCTTTTCACCTCGCTGCAGGGCCACCGGTTTGGACTCCCAAAGGCTGGTCGTCGCTTTTCCTCGCTGCAGCTGCGCCGTCAGAGCCGTCGTAGGGGGGCGCGGCGCTGTCCCGGCGACGGCCGGTGTCGCAGCAGATGCCTCTCAGCGAGGAATGGAATAACAGTTAGTTTGTGCTTCTTGGGTGCTCAAACATGGAAAAGTGAATCCCTTGCAACTTGTATAAAACGTGTTATTCTACAAGCAGTATGTTGCGGGGCAAATCTGAGGGAGACTGACAGTTGATATGGGGCAATCTTCGCAAGAACATTACTTACTGGCATTCATCATTCATTTCCGGTGAGGAGCCGCAATTTCACCTTAAAGCTCACAGCAAAGAAGTATAGTCAGTATAGTAATTATGTTTATTCAGGCCAGTTTTTGGCTAATAAGGAGGATTGTGGAGAAGATTCCTCTATCCAGGATGCGACTCAGGTTGTGCTCTTCCGCTTCTCCATTGGACCGCGAGCCCCTCTCTTTTGGATCATTGACTGATGAGGAAAATATCGACCAACAAAGTTTGTGGGGGGCAGGTGCAATCACCTCCGCATCACCTCCGCATCCTGATGACTAAAGGCTTTGCACAGAGAAGCCCGTAGAGAAAATCTCTTTACGACGGTCTGCGAACTCCGAACACTGTCCGACCCCAAAACCCACCAAGCCCTGCATCCCACTCAGATCCCTGGATGAAGATATGTTTTGCAGCCCCAACACCATCTACAGTAGCTTAACCTTCCCTGGTTTTGACCAACAGCCACATGCTTGAAGGAAGCCCCTGCATAAATAAACAAGACGATTTTCACTCCAGGTTGTCTGTTTGACCTCTAAGTGACAGCAGCAAAGGGCCATGGGAATTGCATTGCAGCAGTGGCTGTGCACACTGGCATCCAAAAAAAAAAGAGACATGGATCAATCTAGCATCTTCGAGCAAAACCGTGATTCCAACAGAAAGCGGGCCAGAAAATGGACGAAAACAAACGCTCCCGTGTCCGCTTCGCTGCGTCGTCGTGCGGACCGCGCACGGTCGCTGCTGGTTCAGCGCCGCCTGAGGGTGGCGGCGCCGGAGAAGGGCGTCCGTCGACCTGAGTCATGGAGGCCCGTCCCTGCACCGATGTCGCATCTGAAAAAGTGGTGGTCGACCCTTCAAGGTGTGCTGCAGTGGTGCCAAAATGTGCAAAGGAAGGGAACTAGAACAACATGAACAACGCTTCTGGCTGATTCTTGCTGAGCTTCTCATAGCTTCTCTACTCCCCAAGTCCAGAAACTGGAGTCCTTGAAGAGATGTGATGTGAGCACCAGAGCACGAGCCCGGAAAGTCTGTCTTGCCCTCCGCGGCCCGCGGCCGTGGCTCCAAGGTGCGAAGAAGCAGCTCCGCGCGAAGCGAACTTCGAAGCACGGCTCCGGCGCCTGGCGCGTGCTTCCGGCTCCGCGGCTCAGCACGGGGGGTCGAACGGAACACTGGACTTGGAGATTGGTGAGCGAGGACGTGTTCACCAAAGCAAGTGAGTAAACCGTACACTCCCTGAAATAATCATGGAAATGGAAAAGCACTTGCATTGTAGAAGAAAATGGTCATCCGCGGGGCCATCACTTCCACTTCCGAGGTTGTTCACAGGGAGTGTAGGCCGTCAATCAGCTGTAAATTGCGGCTGTCACAGCCTACCTGAGAGGATGTCCAAGGTTCTATACTGGTTTGGATTGAATATGATTGAATGACACCCAGAATTGCCATATCATGCCACAGACCTTGGCGAACGGTTCCATCGCGGCCGTACAGTGTACAGGTCAGTGAACAGGGCCCCGTGTGCAGGTTTCGAGTTCTGTGAATAGGACATATGTAAAAGAATGTAGATAAATGTATATATTAGAAGTTAAAAATGATTGAAAGTTACATAGAGGCCTGCCCTTCCAACACCCTTTCATCCCCTCTTCTTGCCTGCCTCGGTTTTTCTGGCTTGCTGCCATCCATACACCTTCCCCTTGCGATCCTCGACTCAGCTCAGAGTTCCGACTTGAACCAAGATCTGAGGTGCTCCAACAAGCCGCTTCTTCGCCGGCAAACATACCTGACCGGTCGGCTGAACCACCGCGGCCAAACGGCAGAACGGGCCCGGGTCGCGCACTGGAGGCATCTCAACAACAAAAGGCCCAACAAGGTCATCGAGGATGATGAATGAGTTCTGAGTTCTGTGAGGAAGGTGCCTGTCGAACTGCCGTGGGGGTCTGGTGTGTCTTTTTCATACCAGATCCATCCATCCGTCCTTCTGCTTGAAGACGCCCCCATCGGGACAAACTGTTTGGGTGGGTTGTACGGCGAGAGAGAAGGTCTCCGAACTTAACAATTATGGTACCCTAGGCAAACCCTGGGAGCCTAGAATGCGATGCATTTCAAGAGATTGGTCAGAATTCGATGTGTTGTATAGGCGTTTTGTACAGTGTGCATGTTCCTTGCTTTTAAGCCCAAAGGTTCTGAGAATGATCGCAGAAGCTCCATTTGTTTGGAGGTGTGAAGATTGTGAAGGAACCCGTCAGACCCCACGTCTACCCAGGAAGCACACGTCTACCCGTCAACGTCCGCACAGACTGCGTCTTGGTGCAGACTGCGTTGCAGCAGCAGGCGTCTCTGGGAGTCCAGGTGTCCAGCAAAGGCCTCACAAGAGAATGGCCTTGGCGCGTCGGAACGGGAACGGAGCTGGCTGGGTTCCAGGCTGCTCGCTCGAGGATGGACGGAGAATGTGGAGGTGTGCCCCGTTTGGTGGCTGTTTTGATCCATGTTTTCACAACATCAAGGGTTGCAGACAACACCTAGCTGCTAGTTATATGGGTCTTTCCACAAATAGGGCTGCGTGTTTAACCTGAAGGTATGTTTCGGGGTATGTTGCAAGGTATGTTTCGGAGGTATGTTTCGCAAGTCCACAAGCAACATCTCATTTTTAGCCATGTATGTTTCGAGGGTATGATTCAACCTATGTTTCGGATGATTTTGAACATGCGTCCTATCTAAAGTGCGTAGCACTGTATTTCTGGAAGCAGCCATATATTGTTCAAAAATTGTCATGGCTTTTGTGAGACCACACACTGTCTTGTTGGGAATCTCATGGAATCTCTAGAAACTGCCTCAGCCTAAAGTAAGCAACTTTCTGTGATACCATGAATCAGGATGGATTGATTCTGCAAATGTTCAACTGGTGCTGCGGCAGTGGGCCTGTCTCCACTGGGATGCCAGTGAAGTTGGTCGACAGGTTGTTGAAAAAGGTTCATTCTTCCGTGATCCATGACAGGTGCAAATCGGAAAAAACAAGAAAGCTCATCTTGTCAGGGGGCGGGGTGACCCAACATCGTCAACATGCTAAAAGAAGTGCTGTGGATGTCTTGCGGGTTCAAGTATATGTAAGCGCCTTGACTTTTGAAACCCTACCGGTTCAGGTCATTGCAGAAAAGGCAGGGACCTTCCATCAAGCTGTCCAACTCGTTTGGACCCCGGGACCCCACAGTCGAGCCGAGATCGTCCGAGTCACGCGATGCTCTGAAGCTGCTGGAGCTTCTCGGTATCCTGACGTTGCGTTGTTTACAGGGATGAGCGCGGCTTCAAGTAGGAAAGGTCGGAAAGGCTTATATATATTGTATTGTATTGGATCATTATCGTAAGCTATACTGACAAATACTGACCAAACAGCCTGTATGCAGGTCTGGAATTATGTTGCTTCACTTTGGGTGCGAAGCTCCAGCGCACGACGATACTTGACCGACGGCATGTTGTCTGAAAATGGGCATGTTCAAAAGAGAGTTGTCACTCATTTCAGCTGGTTCATAGCAGCAAGTGGGTTCCACGTCCAACACACGTCACCCTTTCCAGAGAATCGTGGGAAGCACGATTCTACTTCAGCACGTGCTTATGAGAACACCAGAACCCCGTTTCTGCTTGTTCCTGCTTTTTCCCAAAGACCTAATGATACCCCTTCGGATCCACCCAAAAAACGAGGCCCTTTTCCGTTTCCCGCGGAAAGCCCCTGGCCGTGACGGAGATGAAGAGACCATCGCTTCGAAGAACTCGGTGAGACTCACGCACCGCGGCCTCGGCAACGCGGCGCGAAAAGGCCACGCGGCCGGTGCCAGTGGTGCTGAGCGCACTGCATGCTGAGCACACTCCACCCTGACCGTAGCTTTCCTACTGCGAATCCATTCCCCAATCCTTTTCGTCACACTGCACAAAGCCTGCCAGTTTGTCAATCTATGTATGTGTTATTTTTTAGACTGCAACATGTCGAAGCGTCCACTCAGATTCGGATCTTTTTTGTTGCTTGGTTTCGATGTGTCGCATCATCTCAACCCAAAACCTTTCCAGCCACAGTTGCCAGCCCCACAGCTGCCAAGAGCGAGGCGAGAGAGAGAGAGAGAGAGCTGTGTTTTGTTTCGTCTGATTTCGTCGGACAAGTCGCCTGGAAGAGCTCTGAGTTATCCTGTCAACACAGCAGGCGAAATCGACCTCACGGAGCATCCCACACATTCGAACCACAGAAGTGGGGCTTCAAACTCCTAGAGTCCCTCATAACACAGAACCACGGATGCGCCCACCAAACCTATAGTGCGTAATATAACTAATATGTGAAAAGAACATAAAAGAAACTGTCAGACATGCTCCTGACTTTGCAACCCTTTGTACGCTTAGGCTTAGCATGCATGCGCTTACTTTCCGCCGGAGTCCACCGCGTTCGAGCCGCTAGCTGAGGTTGTAAAAAATCATGGACTTTGAAGATGTCTCGTGTGGGGTTATCGTTTTGTTTTTTACTCCTTATCGTTTTCTGGGAATCGGCTTACAGGAGCCGAACCTGATTGCTCTATAATAGTGTTGAACACGTCCACAGAACACCTGCAACTGCCATCATCATGTGGTCGGACAGAAACGGTCCTGGAGCGAGTCCAAGGTCCCTTTCTCCAGAACCACATCGAAGCTCTGATCCTCCGTGTCCATCGAGGAAGCGTTCATCCATCTCCACGACCTCGTCCACGCGGATCGGGTGGCGCGGTGGGAAACGGAGCAACGCAAGGTGATCGCTACTAGTAACAAGCAAAAGCTTCAAAAGGAGGCTGAAAAATAGATGACATTATATTTCTACTCCAGCGCATTCCTGCAGCATTCAGGAGATGACAAGCACTTGCAAGAGCATACCGCAAATTAAATCATCAATATCATCATTAATGATATGAACTTCACCAGGTTAGGAAGATCATACCATGGAGCCGAAAAGGACTCTTACATGGTCCACTTCGACGCAATGTCGGACTCAGCTGCTTCCAACCCCCAAAGGCCCAAAGGGCCTCTCCATTGCCCGATTCCCCCGTTTCCCTCCCGCTGAGCGACATCAAAGGCATCTCCCTTTCAAAGCCTCTCCGCAGGCCTTGGGCGAGCCCGGCCTTCGTTTTTCTTCACACCATCCGGCGATCCGGAATATGTATGTGTGTGTGTGGCTTGTGATATTTCGTTTTGTCCACCCCCCCAATGGGTTTTGGGATGGCTGAATCTCCATGAGCAAACTTCCCATTTGCAAATGGTCTTGAGGACAGAATCAAAATGAATCAAATTATGTGGAGGCCGCGTCAACCACCCGCAGCGATGCAGGGTATTTAGTCAACAGTCCAACCCCCCCATGTCACATCAATGGGGGCCATTCAATTTGGTTGGAAACCTGAAAAGCCTGGTTGCTCAAAAAGCTTGAAACAACACAATCCACAAGTGCGTCTTGGAGCGCTCCAAGGCACGCTCCAAGAGTCCCGAGCTGATGTCGACGTTCGTGATGTTGCGGAATCCTGAGCAAAGAAGGGTTGGGAGTCAACAGATCTTAACAAATGGAAGACAATGAAAACATGTGGGCGGGCGGGTGGGTGGGTGGGGTGTAGTCACCCGTAGTCTTATTTTGTGATCTTATTATGTCTATTCTGAGCATTACCCACTGAGCTGCCTCTCATTCCTCCCGCCTTCTCGATACATCTGCTGAGACATATCTGAACGGCCACAGCCCAACATGAGAATGCTGGCGTTGGCAAACAGGAAGGGTCCAATGACCTCAGTCAGGTTTCGTACCAAAAACTGACGGGGAACACCTCGTTGTGAAGATCTTGATTGTATCCCATTCCCTGTAACAGTGGATGATGATGGCTGGTACAGGCCTTTCTCCAAAATAAGGATGTTCTTATCTACCGACTGTTACAGGGAATGGGACACCTCCAATGTTGGCTTCAATGACCAAAAGAAATGCAATGCGATTCGCCAAGCCAAGCTCTGGACCGAACCAAGGGTTGAAACTCCCAGGCTCAACCAATTGATCGGTGTATCCCAAGTGCTGTACCAATCAAAGCGATCTGCATCGACATTGGCATAATATTCCTGAGAACTCGAAACCGTCCAGAGGAATACCAGACAACATACACAAATACACACAAATGCGCACACTACTCCAACCTCTATGGCCACAGGCCACCGGAACACAGCTTGATCCAACTGAAGTGACATGAGCTTCAGAGCTCGCTTCAGAGCTTCACAGAGCTCTCATTCACATGTCGCCAAGACGCTTCCCAAAACCGTGAGTTTGAGAGTGTGTAGGCATTCCTCGGGTCGCGAGGCTTCCCAAAACCGAGGAAGGGTCCGCGTAGTGGCCCAGCCCAAAGAAATTGGAAGAACCAAAAACAAATGCAAATGGAAACAAACAAAACATATTGTTGTCTGCAGCCCCTGGTTTGGAAAAGAGCATTTGTTAAGCATATGAATGAAGGAAAATTTATCAACATATCATAACATATCATAAAATATCTAAATCTTGGAGGACCTCTGTCACTCCGCACTCAGATCATCTCATGTCCCACGAGTCTCACAAAATCGTCAAAATCTGTCTGAGACCCCACGTGAAACCTATTGTGCTTGTACTTCATATCATCATAGAAAGTGCTTCACTGGCATAGTTGTGCATCATCCCATCCGTATGGAGTATCGGCAGTGAAACCTGTGATATAGCGGATTCTAAGCCATTTCATCAAAGTGAAATGACCCACGCAACTGGCCAGCACGGGCTAGGAAAAACGGTTCCTCTGCAAAATCCATGGGCTTCATGGGTGTTTCATAGGTGTTCCCTTGTGATGATCAGCTAGGGAGTGTACAGTCCATCCGTCGCGTCAGGTCGATCTCCTTGAATCCGTGACTCTTCTCCTCCACTGCCTGGTCATCCAGGCCAGAACTCTGCTGGTGGATCGTGCCGCGCAGGATCCGAGCCATGAAGTAGAGCTCTTGCCCTGTTTTCGACCGTGGGTCGATTGGTTGGTTGCCCCTGCAAGAGGTGAAAGGAAAACATCTCAGACCCTGCTATATCCTGCTATCACAAAACTAAACGGATGCATAACGATGCCATCTTCCCCCACCGACGCCCAATCAGAAACCAAATTTATCCCACCGACGCGTTCGCAGGAGAACCCGCAAACAAGGAACGCCCGCCCGGGCCCGGCCAACCGCCCCGGCCGGCCGCTCCCCGTTGGAACGGCCTTCACTGCTCCGTTCGGCCCGCAGGCGCTGCTCCGCGCGGTGCAGCGCCGCGTCCAAGACGGGGAGTTGCTCCGCCAGGCGCTGCGCTTCGAAGAGCTCCTGGAGCGACGGGGACCCACGAGGTACGGTCCCACCGGTGGGGAGTGTCTGGGTTTGATTCATGTTGTTCCGAAACGTTCCGGTCGTTCTTTGCGTCGCTATTTCCAGTTGGACCAACCAAGGGATTGTCTTCTTTCCGAAAGACCGGAACGGGCACCCCAGCTTGGGTGTCTACATGCATCCGCACGCTCAAGTAGACTCCACAAAAACCGTCTGTTGACTGCCGAAGCGAGCAAACATTCCGCAAAGGCTCGACGACCAAAGTTCACACACCCTGGGGCCACAACTTGCGTCAGTGCATAGCAACCTTGGAAGGCACCTTCTTTCCCCAAGGAATTCGGTGTTCCCAATCCATGTTCCGGGTTCAGGGGTAATGTACCCAAGACTCCAACCATGGAATTGGTGTGTACCGGTGTGTACTGTGTGTTACTGAGGGAGCTGGGATCTCCATTCAACACGGTTGGTGGGCATTTGCCCGCACCCGGTGGCATCGATCAAGCCGTCAAGATTAAAGGGACTCTGATTCTCACCAGCCCAGCATTGGTCCTGCCCAGAATCCAATGAAAAGCGATTAAAAACATTGAAAAACACAGTGAACAAATAGAACCTTTAAGAGCTCTCCTTGGCTGTTGCTTCGAGTTCCACCAAGGAGTCTCGGATGCGGCTCAGCCTCGGCGGAGGCTTTACTCGTGGGGATGTGATTGGAGATAATCTGAACAACGTCCTCACACCTTTCAACGACATGCCCAAACACATGGTTTTAAACGCTAAATGAATCTGAGATCCAATGCCCCAATGCCCCAAGCATCTAACTTATCAAACCTTAAGCCTTAACTAAGCATCGCAAGTACTGTATATAAATTCAAATGGCCTGGTTTTTCAGGGATCCACCGCCATCCCTCTCAAAACAAGCATTGTTATGTTTTAAACAATGCACAGCTTTGAAACTCACAAGTTCACGCCCAACGTTTTGTGAGCTTGGCTTCATTCATGCAAGCCGGCTCAGTGGTGTCGTTATAGGAAGAATAGAGGGGTCTGGCTGCCAGGTTCGAACCCATCAACCAGGAACATCCAGGAACGTCATGGCGGCGCACTTGCTCGCGTGGACGGTAGCGAGGTCTGCCCGACTCGCTTTGACGGCGCCACCCTCCGAAAGAGCCAGCGGATTCCTCTGAAAGGATGCCTAATTAAGGCCTAGGAACCAGGAACCAGAATCCAAAAGTTCGTTGGAATCATTTGAAAAGAAAGGGTGGAGGTGAGTGGCTCAATCCTTTGTTCCACCCAACCTTTTCGAACGCGCGCCTCGAACGCGCCCTTCACCACCGCCGGGGAGCGATCCGTCGCCCGCCGCGAGCAAGAGCCTGGGGACGGACGGTCGAGCAACGCGAATCGGGCGAAGGATGGTCATTGATTGGTCCAAAGTGACGACGGATGGATGGCATTTGTAAGCCGTGAGAAGATCGAATGTCCGCCTCGTCACACCATGCTTGGGCCTAGAAATGTGTCACCCACTCCCAAATCTGCAGGTGCTCTTTTCAGGAATTGGCGCACAAATACACACAAATACACACAAAACCCATCAAATCTCTCATCAGCACCCATCTGAGAACCATCTGAGGAACCCCTTCATCCCCTTAAAATAACAAGCCAAACGAGGTCTCTCTACGTCCATGTTCTGCCAAACTGGGCAAGGCGACCGCTCTCCCGCCCCGGGCTCCGAGAGGCCACGGAGGAAAGGTCACCAGTCGCATCCACGTGGGCCGCGGAGCACCGCCACGTGGTGCGGCAAGCGCGCGCGACGGTTTGGGACCCCTGTCGTCACATTCCAATGACACTCCAAGGTTGTAACAGAACAAGTATGCGCAAGTATCTAGTTCTTTGATGTTCTTTGTCTCTTCTGAGCCAAACGCCAAACATCATTGCATTTGGAAAGGTGCGGAAAGTCTACAATCTGCACAGTCAAGCATTTTGAAGTGATAGCAGGAAATGAAATGAACAATGTACCATTTGAGAGCGGGATACTTGCCAGAACATGCACATGACTGCACATGACTGAACACATCAGATCGATTCAGTCTGTGTCTGTGCGGTTCCTTTCATGTCACTTGCGTCAACCATTTGCATCCATGGTCAAAAACAAAGAGTCATTCAGTTGTAATATAGGCTGTGATGGATCGGTTGCCACTGTTTGAACGTCTGCGATGAAACCTGAAACATGCATTAAAGCTACGTGCATGTCGCAAAGGCTGCTGGTTTTCCCACCGACTTTCCGTGCTCTGCTCTTCTTACGAAGATCTGCACCCTGAGAACTTGCGACATTCAATGCGAAAGCGAACTCATCTCTGACGGAGGCACCTCATCAAGCACAACAAACTGGAAGCATCAAATGGTATGATCTCGCCGTGATACACTCAGTGCCTCTTTCCGGTCAAAGAAACATACATATACTTTTACAGTAGCATGTTCTTCGAACAAAAAATGGTCGTACTGTTGAATCTACCTATGTTTTTAGCAATTCTAGGCAGCTTAACAATAGCACCTGGTCGGGCATCAGGCCAGTAAGGAGCTGGGACAGGCTGCACCTGTAGAGTTCATCTCTGGTGTAAAATGTGGAACGGTTTATGTTTTTTTAATATCTTCTTGGTTTACCACATTACAGCATTGTGTTTGGACTGCAACAACTCTACAGCACACTTGTTTTGTGGTACAGTAGAACCAATTTCTTGTCGGTGCCTTCTCTGCCACCGTGCAGTGGGCCTTGGACAAAAGGAATGGGGTTGGCCGTTGGCTTGGAGTTCATCATTGAGTTCTGATGACCATCTGCCTCACTCATTGCCATACTGGCACAATTCAGAGATGCCTTGCTAACATCTAGCAGCCGCCTTTTCCGATGTCTTTTTTTCTTCCCTTGGTTTGCTGATTTGCGGAGAGAGCTGGGCACTGGTGTCGATTCGACATGATTCGACAGCTCCACAGATCTTTTCCACATGCATTCCAAATTGAAATGCAGAAAGCCGTAGTTGGAACTAGAGGAACCTATACCAACATGCTAGCGCAAGTGACTGCAGGATCATCGAAGTAGCAATCGAAAGCATGAAACCCACTGGCGCTGGCACATGTTTTGGGCACTGGACAAATCCGAAAGACCGTTCACCAATCCTTCGGTAGTCGCATTCCGTGGAAGAGTAGTGCTCCAATGCTGGAAAGTTCTTCTGAAGCCAGAAGCCCTCTATCGAAGAAGAGTTTGACTTGGGATGTCGCCTTTGGGCATTTGCAAGGGAATAAAAGAATGCAAGCTCAGTGCTCGGGTCACCGACTTCTTCGCAAATCTGGTCCATGCCATGGGACATCTTGACCGCGGCCTCTTCGGACAAGACATCGGTCAAAATGACGTGGATTGGTGTCAAAACGTCTTGCTGCAAGGAAGACCTGAAGTCGGAAGGGCTTAGCAAATGAAAGCACCTCAGACCCCATGAGAAACCACTTGAGTTCTCATCCAACTTCACAGCAAGTGTGTGACTCAATAATAGCACAACATCTGCGGCTCTGTCATCTATCAAGCCTTGAAGTGCTTGCGTCTTAAGACTTTTGAATTCGTGAAGCGCCGTGCGCTGCAACATGTCAAAATGCTGTTCCACCACCTGGGCATCTGGGAGGAGACGGATGCCTCGAGGAAAACTCTCCAAGAGCGCCAGGAACTGGAGCACAGCTGGCCAAAATTCTGTTTCATCGTGGTGTTGGTCCATGCAATCGAGCAAATCAATACAAAACTTCATCACCCTTCTGTAGTGTGTGTGTCCATTTCCTCAATTTTACAAAAGTGGCAAACAATCAGGAACCTTGAAGCAAACGCTGCATAAATGCATGTCTTTCATCAAGCAAACAGCCATTCTGAGCTGAGGCTCTTCTGAACTCCGTGTTCTGGTTGAATTCATGCCCATCACACCCAAGAAGCATCTGCAAAACCCTTTCCAACCAAGGAGCACGTGGCGCCCGTGGATGGTCATAGTGCGACGCACATTTCAATGCCCGGGCGAGACCTGAGAAAAGCATTCACAATCAGATCCAAATTCAATTCAAGGCGTTGCCAAACAAAAGTTGACATAACTTGCGTTAGATAACACAAATGGAACAATGCCTGGCACGACCCTGATTAACACACTGAACCCCTGACAATGCACAATAGGGGGTTACCCCGCACCGATGCGAAAACCCAGAACAAATCCACAAAATCCAAAAACACGTAAGTCTTCCGGCATGTTATCCACGAGCAATGCTTCGAAGCCAACTCAGGGCCAAACAATCACATTTGCTCCCAGCCCTTCCGGCAGCACGAGCGCAAGCGCAATGGCCAAGAACACCATACAAGAGTTTGCCAAGGTATTCTGCATCCATCTTGCTGAGTTCCATGTCGCTTTTGATGGCATCAGCGAGGTCCAGAGACATGTGAAGCCTTTTCCCCGGAAGGATCAAATCCATCATCCGCTGGCAACGCTCCAACAACAGCACCTGTGCCAAACCCTTGTTGGGTGATGCAGCCAGCAACCGAAGGTACATCGGGGCAACAAAAAGCTTTTGAAGAATTGAGGCGAACCTCAAATCGTCACAAAGCTGAGCACAAAGGAGCAAGCAGCAAATGTCATTTTTTGGAATGGCCCAGTCTCGAGTGATTCGCGCCGCTCCTGTCGGTGTCAAAGCCTGCTGGGCAGAATCCAGGATGAACTGCACTTGCTCCTCCCACTTGCTTTGGTCTAAGCTTCCACTGGCAGCATCAAAGAGCAAGCTGTCAAGAAATGGGAGACTGCCTGCAAAGACATGAGAGATAAGCAGCTCAACCTCTGGCCAAAGCAAACCCTCAGCATCAATCTTCGTGATTTGACTCCTTGGCAACTCGCCGATCTCAAGCAAGCTTGACATCTCCTGCAAAGCTTCAACCGGTTTTGGTGTTTCTTGGCAATGATCTGTGCGGAAGAATGCATCTGCAGCAGCTAAGAGTCTCAAGGCTGACAATGCATTCTCTGAGTCCTCGTTTCTGCTCAACAGTGCTGAAAGTGCTAGAATCTGCCGACAGTCTGCTGTCAGATTTGTAAGGAGATTGGCTTTAGGCACTTGGCCGTAGAAAGCGAGCCTGGGAGGCTCGGATAGTCCCGCGTCAGCCACAAATTGCGCCATGCAATGCATCCATGCTGCGAAGCGCTGCGGTAGGGTGGTCAACACTTCTTCGTATTCAGCTGGAAGCTTTTCAGCAAAATCAATGTCCTGCCGACACGCACAACGATTTCAAATCACTTCCCGGGAAACAAAAGACCTTTTCAACAAAAAATATGGAAGTATGGAAAGTCTTGGAATCGGCCGAACCTCCAAGCATGCTGGAGGTTTATGACATGCGGAGTGTCACTTTGGGGAGAGCGCACTCCCTCTGGCAGTCCATGTTTCTATCATGTTCTATCCATGAACGAACATCTTCGAGGGTTGCCACTTTCAACACTTCACTCTTGCACCTGAACAAGCTGTGACAGCCCCGCTCCTGGTAGAAATGGGAATCGGCTGGCACCATGTCGCAAGCTTCACAAACAATGGAATCGCAAATCTTCGAAGCCGTCAGGTGTTGATCTTTGGCAAAAAGTGCAGCAGATGAAATGACATGGAGTGGAGTCAAGATCATATCTCGCAAGAGTTTCTGCATCTCTTGCGGGCGCGCAAGCCCGAACAGCCTCAAGCGTCGTCTGACACGGCCCTCTACACACGGATCAGCGCTATCTGTGGCTGGTTGCATGAACTGCTGCTGAAGCTCCTGCAACAACTCAAGCAGTTGGTGCCTAGACAATGCGTCTACAACCTTGCAGCTGATGATGTCCGTGTAGTCGTTGACCAAGGCAGCCGTGCTCTCTCGCAACAATTCCGCAGAAAGCCTCAGGGAATCACAGCGCGCGCGAATGATGACGTCTCCTGAAAGTGTCATTTTCTGCAAGGCCACCATGTCCAAGCGTGCAAGCGAGGTAGAATCATCTTCGAAACAAACACGAAACCAAGACACATAGACTATATAAACTATATAACTAATCAAATGCCACAGGTGCAGAAACCAAGTGGTAAACCCGGACTGAAAAATGGTAGGTACGTACACAAGGACTCCCAACAAATCTGACGGTGTCCACTTCAGACCAAACAAAAAGGCTGAAGTTGGGCGAACCGCAACGGGAGGTCCCGGGGCCCAGTACACAACATTGATACACGCGCATGCGTGTGACACGCCACCTAAACCAAAACATGGAATTGGACCACGCTGCTCTCAACTGCAGGTTGCCAGAAGGCTTTTAGGTTGATCAGGAGCAAAAGACTTGAATCCCGAAAGGCCCTTGCCTCGGCACCAGTGGCATTGGGAGGCCTCTCGCTTCAATCTTCTGCAAGTTGTCTTTGCAAAGCTCTATTTTGCGTCGGATGCTCAGAATCTCCTCAACCCTTGAGGAACGATGGACTTTAGGAGTCACCTGTTCAAAAACAAAAATTACAGCAAATCCATGCTTGATCCATGCTTGAACAATCATGGGCGTTTTGACAGGCAAGCCCATCTTCCGAAGACTTAGGATATGATTTGGGACTTCCGCCGTTTTTTCTTGTTTTTATATACTGGTTTTGTCCTTGGTTGCCTTAGATGGAGATACGTCACAGGGAGAAGGCTCGTGCCAACCAGGTGGAGGAGAGTCGCAATCGATAGATTCATACATATCCTCGTGATCCTCATCGTGGAGACCATCTGCAGAGCCAACCAAAGTGCTTGCTCGCGATCCCAGGTCAGCATCTTGAATCAATGGCTG